TAATTAAGCAATACGGAACAACATTAATATTTTTATAATTCATGGTATTATGGTCGAATATGTGGATAGAAAATACACAAAACGTTGTAATATTAAATGTATATTTAATATAACTATAACAAATAAACAGATGCTAGCAGAATGTCAATTTACTACAATTATGATACAATACAAAACTACAACATTTTACTTACAAGGCCCCAGCCCTTTGGCTGGGGTTAAGTCAGAGCTGGTACTACATCTTAGGTTCAGTCAGGTACAGGCAAAGAGACAGAGTTTTCTCCTCCATCTGGTTTTATTCAGTGTAAGTAGGCTGGCCTGTGATGTCACTGCCAGAAGCACATGTCTTCCTACACACTCCCCCTAGTGGTGCCCCCAAAGCATTACACTAAATATGCTTTCTTTATGATGTAAAGTCATTAATTAATAAATACCATTACACTATTGCATTCGGTAGATGAAACTACCGAACTGGGACCACCCTCTGGCTCATTAAACATCAAAGGTTTAGGTGAAATTGCTACCTCTGTCTCTCGTTAGTCGAACGCCACGTGGCAGAGAAAACTATGGCCATCTTTGTTCATGCGAACAATGGCAGCGGGACCTGGTCGTCGAGTGCATGGAACTGTTTTACGGACACTTGACTTCCCGAACACCGGTCCCAAACAGATGAACGCTGGAACTCTATTTACCGAATAGCTAGAAGAGCGCTATTCGGTACTTTGGTGCATTCGACAGAGGGGCACGAACGCTGCTAGGAGCCAGAGGGATCCATTCGGTACTTTTCTTCGTTTTTATGTTTTTCGAAAGTGACAGGCATAACCCACCAAATTCATGGAACTGTTTTGGGCATGCAGCCCAGGGTGAGCCGGTCACACAAGACTTCCATAAAATTTGCGAACCCCTGAACCGATCTGGGTGAAATTCGAATATGTTGGTCACCCAGATTAGGGCTATCAGGGGACACATACTTTATGAGGATACCCCCAGTATAAAGGGGTGTTCTGAAAGTTGGGGAAAAAGTGATTTTTCAGCCCTGAGATAATTAAGTTACTGTTTTATCAGACTAAATTATCTCCTGGGCTAGGGGAGGGAATTGTAGGTGTGTGTTAACATTTTACTGTTTATGATTGGTTATTGTTTGTCCCTCCCTGAGGGCTGTCCCCTTGCATGGGGACTTGCATAAAAGCTGTGTGCACCCATTAAAGGACAGTTAATTTTGTACCCTTCTTCTTGACTTCGGCTGATGTTTGGGGATTCGTGTGTTTCACTGAGGGAATTATCTGGTGAGACTATTGGAATTACTATAGGATTCGTCTACCCTAATTACCGAACGGAGGGCTATATTCACTGGGCTCTGGCGGTTCGGGAGGAAACTACCGAATGAGGTTTAAATATACTTGGTTTCCTTACATAGGTGTCTTGTACTGTTAACCAGTTTGTACTTTCCTTTTTGGTTATGAAGTGACTCAGTGCCAGTACTTCTTTAAGATTTTTTCCCCTGCGTGCTGTCAGGGATACACGTGATGACAGAACCCCTCCTAATTGGGGGTCCTGTGAGAGGAGGAGCCAGAATCTGCCCATGATCTTCCTCACTTGTTCCCACACTGAATCACAATGCATCTGATTTGTTCAGATGTGATGGGTCGGGTTTTGTCTTTGAGTAGTTCGGTCTGGTCACTAAGGAGGGCACTCTAGTAGGCGTGTTTGAGGCATCTATTAGAATAGCCCCTTTCCCTAAACCTAGCTCTAAGTGACTTGGCTTGATGAATGAAGTCTTCCAGGGTCGAGCAATAACTCCTAAGTCTGAGGTATTGCCCCACGGGGATGCCTCTTTTAAGTGCAGTGGGATGGTGACTTTCCCATCTCAACATGGTGTTAGTTGAGGTGGGCTTCCTATATAGTGTGGTCCGTATGAGTGATTCGCCTGAGATTGTGAAGGTGCAATCTAGAAAATTGAAAGAGGGATGCCAAATCTCCATGGTAAATCTTAAATTCAACTCATTGGAATTAAGTCTCTGGACAAAATCGGTGAAAGAGTCCCCGTGACCGTCCAGACAATGAGAACATCGTCAATATATCTTTTCCATAAAAAAATATATTTAGTAAATTCTCTGAAATCCTCGGAAAAGACCACATTCTTCTCCCACCAACCCAGGTGCAGGTTAGTGTAGGATAGGGCACAAGACGTGCCTATGGCTGTACCCTGCAACTGGTGGTAAAATTTGCTGTTGAAGAGGAAGAATTTATGGGTTAGGATACAAAGCAGTAAGTCCAGTACAAACTTTGTGTGCTCTTGGTGTCCCTGCCCCCTTGTCTCCAGAAAGTACCCAACACGTTTAGCACCTATGGAGTGGGGGAACGAGGAGTAGAGAGCCTCCACATCAAGGCTGCACAGCATAGCACCTTCTGGTATGGTAATGACAACTAAGCTCAATGGAGTCTGCCTCTATCCCTGGATAATTGGATTACTTTCCCCATTGTCTCCAGGCTAGAGGGCTCTGTAAAACCAGTTTGGGCCAGATAGCCATGCTGCCAGCCAGGCCCCAAAAGATACTTTGCTAACTTCTGAACCCCTGGTCTGATTCATGCCATTTTTTGATATGTTGTTTCCCTGAATGGATTGATTGTAAATGTATATTTTTCATGTGAATGTAATTTATATTTTAGAAGTTATGAATATGCTGTTAAAACTGTATTATTTCTGGCCAGCAGAAAATTGAGCTTTGTGTATTGTAGAAACTCAATTATCTAGCCTGGCCCAGAGGAGGAGTTTTGTGTTTCATAAATTGTGAGTTCTGTCTGCCAGTAAATCTGTCTTGTTCCAGCATTAAGCCTTGGCTCATGTTTGGGGGATTGGAGAAATACACTCTGGGGATTGCTATAATCACTATACTCCGCAGGGTATGATCACTAAGTTCTGCTAAGAGCTTGTTCCTGTTCCTGCTCTCTGGGGAAAGAGAGGTTCACCCACTGGAAGCTGGATCCTGGCCTTGGGTCCAGGGTGCGTGGAGACAGCAGAGACCCCGGCGCAGTTGCATCGCTGGAAGTGGGGTCTGCAGTGCTGATGGTGTCGGTTGGAGTGCTTGGAGTCCTCAGTGAGCCCTAGGAGCATCGATTGGCGGAGGTACTCAGTCGGAGTGCCAGCGTTCCGTCACAGTAGACGCTGGCTCTACTTGTCAGATTATTTGACCCTGACACAATCGGTCTAGCTGTAAGATGGGTATAGTGCTTGTGCAAAAAATAAAAAATAAAAGAAACTCTAACACTAAAAAATAAGCCCTACGAGTTTCGTTCAGATAACTGAACTTCCTCAGGGACAAAATGATTAAAATATCTCTCCAGAAAGTGCAGCTGCTCGGAACAAAAAACCCAGAGCATTTAAATATAGTACACAGTTCCCGCGGGTCCTCGCCCAGCAATCAGGACGGGACCCTAGCGGGTATAATCAATTACGTTCTGATTATACGGTCTCCAGCTTCATTGATGTATTGCATTAGTTTGTCACATAAGTGATGTCATCCGCTGGCTCAGTTCTGCGTTCCATGTGAGGGGTTGTGTTCCAGACGCATCCCGGAAGTCCGTTGCTTAGATCGGATGGCCCCGGCATGCATTCCATATCAAACTCATTCCAAATGTAAATGTCCAAATAAAGGCAATCAGAACGAAAAACATACATAATAATAAATAAATAAATAAATGGATATTAGCACATAATGCCTTATTTCATTTAATTTGATTTTGTTATTGTTGTTTTATTCATCTTGATGCTGCTGAAGAACTCCATCCAATGACATTATTGTGGAAGATGTTCCTGTCTGCTGCCACTGAGATTACTATTTGTGATGTGCCTATTTAACACTTAAATCTTGCTTCCTTGGACATATCCTGTCTCAACAAGGCTTGAAAGCTGACCCAGATAAGATTAGAGCCATTGTGGACATGCCACGGACTGGTGACACCAAAGCAGTGCAGCGTTTTATTGGCTTTGTCACATACCTAGCAAAATACATGCCACATTTGTCTGAGGTGTGAGCCATTGAGAAGGCTTCTAGATAAATATGCAGTTTGGCATTGGCTTCCCAAGCATGACCAGGCAGTGGAGGAAATAAAACATATATCACAGCTGCCCCAGTGCTAAAATATTATGATGTAAAAACGCCTGTTACAATAAAATGCGACTCGAGCAAAAATGGCCTAGGATGTTGTCTGTTGCAAGAAGGTCAGCCAGTTGCATTTGCATCCAGAGCACTCTCTTCAGATGAGCAAAATTATGCTCAAATTGAAAAGGAATGTTTAAGCATTGTTTTTGCCTGCCAGCGTTTCCATCATTATCTCTATGGCCAGGATGTAATATTGCTGAAACTGATCACAAACCGCTAATAGCCATATTCAAGAAGCCGCTTTTATGTGCTCCAAAGCGTTTGCAGAGCATGATGCTTACATTGCAGAATTACAATCTCAATGTTGTGTACAAGCCAGGATTTGAAATGTACATCAGTGACACCCTAAGCAGAGCTACAACGGAACACGTGGGCACCTGGAGGTGAGCATGAGCATCTTGCAGTTTTTTTGTTGCAGCAGGAACAGAATTTCTTTGCCGAAGTCAAACAAGCAGACTATCTTAATGTCACAGATCAGCAGCTACATCAGCTCATACAGCACACAGTAAGTGATGCAACTTTGCAAGCACTGAAGTCTATCGTTCTGATGGGGTGCACCTGCAATTGTGAAGGAATATTGGTCCTTCTGAGATGAGACCAGCATACAAAAGTCCAAGGGTCATGTTGCCGAAATCACTAAGATCAGATATGTTATCGCGCATACACTGAAGCCACATCGGAGTGAGGCTTTACTGGCCCAACATGCAAGGTGAACTTTGTCAACAATTGTCCCACTTGCAATGAATATGCACACTCGCAACAAAAAGAAACCATGATGTCACATGAGATACCTACATGTCCTAGGCAGATTGTCAGCATGGACTTATTAAACCATGTTGGAAAAGAGTACCTGCTCTTAGTCGATCATTACTCAGACTTCTGGGAAATTGAACTGCTTCCTGACCTGTCCACTGAAACTACAATTAATCGATGCAAGGTCATGCACGTCATGGCCAACCAACTAAAGTGATTTCTGAAAATGGTCCTCAGTTTGCAAGCTTACAGTTCAGGAAATTTGCCACTGAATGGGAGTTTGAGCATGTGACTTCTTCACCATGTCATCCACAAGCTAATGGCAAAACTGAATCTGCTGTGAAAATAGTGAAGAATTTATGCAAAAAAGCTAAAAGTCATGGTAAAGACCCATGGAAAGCCATCGTGTGGATTGGAGAAACACTCCAACAGAGATTAAAGAGCTCCTTACCAGTAGCCAACAAGCTACTTGAACCCTCTGTAATACAAGGTGTACCAGAAAAGTTACGACTTAAGAGGCAAGTGTTTAAGGCTAGATATGACTCATCTGCTAGGAATTTACCTGAACTGAATATTGGGGAACAAATCCGTATGAAACCGCTTCCTGGAGATTGAACAGGTCGCTGGAGAATGGGAACCTGTCTGCAAACGGTTGCACCACACTCTTATGTGGCGGAACCAGCCTCGCCACTGGGCATTGGAGAAGACTGATTGCCAGCCTCCTGCCATGTGACTATGGCAATCCTGTATTGCTGAGGATTGCTACCAACTAGGTGGATTTGGCTATGGACAGTGGCGTACATACCAGGGTCGCAGGGGTCGCGGCTGCGACCGGGCCCGGCTCACCAGGGGGCCCGGCCGCCCCTGCGACCCGGTATGTAGCCACAGGGCCAGCCTCTTCCCCTGGGGGGGCCCAGGAGGCGGCCACCCCAGGGCCCCCCGAGGCTGGCCCTGCTGACCCCGGCGGGCGGGTGGCCGGTCGGGCAGGAAGGCGGGCGTGCGAGGGAGCACTCAGTGCTTCCTCTTCAGCTCCCTCGCGCACCGCACTGATGCCGGAGCCGGAAGATGGCGTCATCTTCCGGCGCCGGCATCCCTACGCGGCGCGCGAGGGAGCTGAAGAGGAAGCAGTGAGTGCTCCCTCGCGCGCCCGCCTTCCTGCCCGACCGGCCACCCGCCCAGGAGCCCAGCAGCACCACTGGACCCCAGGGAATCCCCCAGCACTCCAAAAGGTAAGGAGGCTGGGGGGATTAAATTTAAAAAAAAAACATGTGTTAGTGTTTGAGTGTGAGTGAGTGTCAGTGTGAGTGTTAGAGTGAGTGTTAGTGTGTTAGAGTGAGTGTCAGTGTGAGTGTTAGTGTGTGTGTCTGCTAGTGAGTGTTAGTGTGAGTGTTAGAGTGTGTCTTAGAGTGAGTGTTAGTGTGAGTGTTAGAGTGTGTCTTAGAGTGAGTGTTAGTGCGTGTGTCTGCTAGTGAGTGTGAGTGTTAGTGTGTGAGTGTTAGTGTGTGAGTGTTAGTGTTAGAGTGAGTGTGAGTGTTAGTGTGTGTCTGCTAGTGAGTGTCAGTGAGTGTGTTACTGTGTGTGTCTTACTGAGTGTGTGTGTGTTAGTGAGTCTGTTTGATGTCTGTTAGTGAGTGTGTGTTTGTCATTGAGAGTGTATGTTTTGTAAGTGAGTGTGTATGTATGTCTGTTTCTGACTGTGTCTCTGTCAGTAAATGTGTGTGTCTGTTAGCTAGTGTATATGCGTCTGTAAGTGTGTGTGTGTGTCTTCAACACTTACCTTTCTCCAGCGCCGGACTCCCTTGGCGCTGAGGATCCCTCAGCCTCTCAGCTCCGAATGCGACGGCGCACGCATTCAAACCGCCCATAGGAAAGCATTACTCAATGCTTTCCTATGGACGTTCAGTGTGCTCCTCTAGCGGCTGTCAGTGAGACAGCCACTAGAGGCTGGATTAACCCTCAGTGAAACATAGCAGTTTCTCTGAAACTGCTATGTTTTCAGCTGCAGGGTTAAAACTAGAGGGACCTGACACCCAGACAGCTTCATTGAGCTGATGTGATCTGGGTGTCTGTAGTGGTCCTTTAAAGGACCACTATAGTGCCAGGAAAACATACTCGTTTTCCTGGCACTATAGTGCCCTGAGGGTGCCCCCACCCTCAGGGTCCCCCTCCCGCCCGGCTCTGGAAGAGGGAAAGGGGTAAAAACTTACCTTTTTCCAGCGCTGGGCGGAGAGCTCTCCTCCTCCTCTCCGCCTCCGTTACGCCCCGCCGGCTGAATGCGCACGCGCGGCAAGAGCTGCGCGCGCATTCAGCCCGTCGCATAGGAAAGCATTTACAATGCTTTCCTATGGACGCTAGCGTGCTCTCACTGTGAAAATCACAGTGAGAAGCACGCAAGCGCCTCTAGTGGCTGTCAATGAGACAGCCACTAGAGGAAATAGGGGAAGGCTTAACCCATTCATAAACATAGCAGTTTCTCTGAAACTGCTATGTTTATGAAAAAATGGGTTAACCCTAGCTGGACCTGGCACCCAGACCACTTCATTAAGCTGAAGTGGTCTGGGTGCCTAGAGTGGTCCTTTAAGTGTGTGTGCATCTGCATGCACTGGCTTACATACCGCGGTCGCAGCCCTGTAACCCCTGCGACCAGGTGCCCACCGCCATGTGTTGCGGCCCGGCCCGCACACGGGGGGGCCCACGGATCAATTTTCGCACCGGGGCCCCATGGGTCATGTGTACGCCACTGGCTATGGAGCTTGTGTAGTGCCCTCTGTTGGTAGCAACAGCAATATGCACTACCTGAATAGCAAGACTGGTAATTTGCATATTCGGGTAGATTTGCATATCGCTAATTTTGCATGCAGGAGAGACATTTTGTGTTAATTATGGTCTTCCCTACCCATTTATAAATATGGAATTATGTTATAATAAGTCACTGTATGTTGCCTGCTATGATTTGACTGTTTGTAATTTGAGTTTTCACAGCAATGTTAATGTAATGACCATATGGGCTAGTCCCAAGTAAAATAAAGTTTTAGACAGTTCTACTTCATCCTCAATTTGGAGTGCTGTCTCTTATTGGGGGAATCTGCTACAAGAGATTACTATGCTCTGCATACTCGCTATATTCACTCCTAAGCTCTTTTAAGAGCTCTTTCCTGCTTTGCTCTGAAGGAAGAGAGGTTCGGCCTGTGGTGGTTGTGGTGTCAGCTAGAGTGCTTGGAATCCTCAAGAAGTGCTAGGAGCATCCATCAACGGAGGTACCCAGTCGGGGTGCCAGGTGATCCGTTACATCTTAACTTGTGGATGTCGAAGGCACTCTCTACTGACGCAATCGTGTGGATCTGCGAGTGGCTGAGAAGCCTAATTCTCAATATCCAGTTGACAAGCCAGACACACCTGGTATTCCAAGGACACATTCACATGTCGGCAGTGAAGAAGAAGTGATACCACAGACTAGTACTAATGACAGCCCTGAGCAAGCAGGACCTCACAGCAGTCAAGTTCAAAGCATTCCAGTAAGTGGTGGGAAGAGTCCAGTAACCTCCGAGATGGCTAAAAGACTATTTGCCCAACCTGGACCAGTCGTCACTCATAGTGGCAGACATTCACAACCACCTGAGAGACTTAACATTCTAGAATGTTATTACAAGGACAGTGTTTCACAATGTCGATTTATTAATACTAAAAGAGGGAGATGTTATGGATGTTATGTTTGGTTTACATGCAACTAACTCTATGGTTTATTCTTTGGTGTGTGTACTTCCTTTCTGTATCTTCTGAAACATTGCTGCTATACACTAATAGCTTGCAGTCTCTTTATTTATATCTCTTGAAACACGAAGCTCCTGCCCAAAACAGTTCCACAAGATCAGGGCTTTAGTTCGGTAGTTTAAAACCGAACAAACTACCGAACATAGTCAATAGTCTTATCCTGGAGCTTGAGCCCCTTGTTTGTGTGAATGTTTCCACCGAACAGTGTCCTCCTAAGTGTTGTAGAACCGAACGCAGGGGATTCTGGAAGTCCAGCGGTGAGCAGGAGTTTCTGTTCTGTTTCTGTGCGGATCCGTTTTTGGTTCCATGAACCCGACGACCAAACACTGCTGCCTGCATTCCTGCGAACAACATGGTCGTCCATAGGAAATGTGGCCCAGACGAACACTTAGAACACTGCGGTGGAAATTTCTACGAAGAACAATTCCAGGGTGGTCTCCGGTTTTGCGGCTGTTCGGTTCCCGAACCATATAGTCAAAATACACGAACGGAGACTTTTACAGTGCAGGAGGCTGGCAAGCAGGCTCCTCCAGGAGCTTGTGGCAAACTCATGTGGGAAGGGGAGTTTGTCACAGCCGCGTACTGCAAATTCCAGACATTGATCATGCTGTATTTTCCCAATCAGACAGTGAATGTGACTGAATTTGGTCTGGAATACAGCCAGACCGAATACCACCAGACGGCTTATATCTGGACCCAAAAGCTTTAAACCGGGGCACAGACTTAATGTAATTTGAGTTAACAAATTGTTTAGATTTTTTTTTTCTTTTTTTTTTAAAGGTACACTCCAATGTCCAAATAAAATAAATAAAAACACTGTTTAGCAGATATACCCCAAATGAAAAATAGGACAACCTTTCACATGTAAACCTTTTCAGCAAGTTAAAGTGCTTTAGGTGTCTGGAGTGTCCATTTAAAGTAAAAAAAAAAATCAAACAAAAAAAATTAAATTAAAAAGTCTATGGAGGTCAAAAAACACATATAACTATAAGAGAAATTTTAAACCTCTCTATACCTCCACCTGTCGCAGATCTATTAAACTTTTAAAACTAGTAACCATGCAGCCATTAGTTCCCAGTTGCTAGGTAGGCCCAATGCCATGGGGACGAGGCCTGTAAAATAACGTGGGAAGACCTTAAATTAAATTGTGGGGGTGCACAGATCACTGTCCACCCCACTGTCCCCAGTGGTGTCCAGCAGTTGGAGGCTATTACATTTAGGTAACTCCACCCCTCTGTCCCACTTTTCATGAGACTTGCCTGACAGTGCGCTCTGATTGGTTGGTTTAATAGGACAGCGTAACGAGAAATCAGAGAGTGGTAAGGTTTTCATACACAGTGAGCATGGATTCATTTTTTTTCTTACAGTTTCGAACTGAATCAGATTTAAATGCAGTTTGTTTTACTGTTTTATCTGTACATGTGGTACAGTGGTCTGTTTTAATGAGGGCTACCTGCCCAGTATTTATGCAGGTCTCCCACCTGGTGGACACTGTGGTAACATGTACAGATATTAGGTACACAGGTAACATGTACATATATCAGGTACACAGGCAATATGTACATATATCAGGTACACAGGTAACATGTACAGATATTAGGTACACAGGTAACATGTACATATATCAGGTACACAGGCAATATGTACAGGTACACAGGTAACATGTACAGATATTAGGTACACAGGTAACATGTACAGATATTAGGTACACAGGTAACATGTACATATATCATGTACACAGGTAAAATGCAGTTATACAGGTAACATGTAAAGATATCAGGTACACAGGAAATATGTACAGATGTCAGGTATGCAGTTAATATGTACAGATATTAGGTACACAGGTAACATGTGAGGTGCACAGGTAATATGTATAGTTATACAGGTAACATGTACAGATATCAGGTGTTAAATGAGTGAAACTGCCGTTTAGTAGATCTCCCCCTTTAGAGACACAGGCACCGTTGCTGTAGACCGCCAAACTCCCGAAATGAATACAAGGGAATGCTCCAAATTCCCGAACAGAGAATTATACGAACTCCTCCTCTCCTGGAACAGGCAAAAGAATACTCCAAAGTAGCAATCCCAACAAACACGAGACCAAGCTCCGTCTTGAGGGTAAAACAGGAATCTGCTTTAATGAGGGCTACCTGCCCGGTATTTATGCGGGTCTCCCACCTGGTGGACACTCCCCTAGGGGACCAGATGGAAGACTGGGACAAGTATGTTACATTAGCCAATCACAGTGGCTCAGACATAACCCCTCCCCTTTGTACAAGCAACCCCTCCTCTCTATCCTGGAGATAATTGGGAAGAAATCCAATTATCTCCATGGATAGAGGCAAAACTCCATTTTAAATAATACAGTAAAAATACATAAAATTCCATAACTTCAAAACTACCAAATGCATTCCACACATATAACGTATCCCCAGATAGCCTAGAGCTGAGCGCACATTATTACCGAATGGTAATACACATAGTTCAATCGCCATGGAGCCAAAGTCTTTCAAACTGTTCTTTCGGTATACAAAGGGCTCCATGGGATGGCTATCTGGGTTAGGTCCATTCGTGAAATAAAAAGTCCAGAACGGACCGTTGTTCGTATGCCGGATGACAAAGAATGGAGGTCGGCGGTTTTCAGCGGTGTTCGGGAGAAAAAGTGTCCGTTTTAAGTTCCATAAGTTTGTCGACGAACACCGCTGTGTATTCATGTATCTAAGATGGCAGCCGCCTCGTGTCGGCATACGAACGACGACCACCCAGCATACGGTTTCAATTAGGAGGTGTCTGCGGTTAACCACAACGTTCGAATTGGGGCTTTTGTCTTTTGACAGGTAACATGTACAAATATCAGGTACACAGGGAATACGTACAGATATTAGGTACACAGGTGATATGTACAGATATCAGGTACACAGATGAAATGTACAAATATCAGGTATACAGGTAACATGTACAGATATCAGGTACACAGGGAATACGTACAGATATTAGGTACACAGGGGATATGTACAGATATCAGGTACACAGGGAATATGTACAGATATTAGGTACACAGGGGATATATACAGATATCAGGTACACAGGTAACATGTACAGATATCAGGTACACAGATGAAATGTACAAATATCAGGTATACAGGTAACATGTACAGATATCAGGTACACAGATGAAATGTACAAATATCAGGTATACAGGTAACATGTACAGATATCAGGTACACAGGGAATACGTACAGATATTAGGTACACAGGGGATATGTACAGATATCAGGTACACAGGGAATATGTACAGATATTAGGTACACAGGGGATATATACAGATATCAGGTACACAGGTGATATGTACAGATATTAGGTACACAGGGGATATGTACAGATATCAGGTACACAGGTGATATGTACAGATATTAGGTACACTGGGAATATGTACAGATATCAGGTATACAGGTGACATGTAAAGATGTCAGGTACACAGGTAATACGCACAGGTACACATGTAATATGTATATATATAAAATATGCAATTGTGTTGAGATGATTGGAATACATTCTCAGTGTACACATTTTAGGTGTTTTACGAGAAGTTTTCTGTTTTAACCTGTGTGCGGAATAAAGGATTAAATGAAGCAGAGTAGCCCCCCTCCAAGGAATACTGCAAGGTAAATGAATCAGGTGCTTTTTTGGGTAATGGAGGTAACGTTTACATGTGAGGTAGATCACATACATTTAAAGGGTCTGGGGCCGGCCACGTGAGACCAGGAACAATGAGCTTTTCATAGATAAGTAGCTGATCGTGAGGAGGGGAGGGGGAGAAAGAACCCAGAAATTTACAATGATCATATTGTATCCTCCCGATTCCACTCTGATAGGGACCCCACTAACAGAGCACTATCTGTGGCGGTCATCAATGGGCCCATCATACCTCCTCCGTCCCCAGTGTTTGAATATTAATTGAATGTGGTCCTAGATAGAGCGATCAGCCTCCCAGACGAGGTGGTAGATTGTGTAACAACAGTTATAATCCATTGAAGAGGGATTTATGATTTTTCTTCATGATTCTGGGCCCTTCCCAAGGCTTGTAACAGGCAAATCATATTGATCAGCTACCAGGATGTTGCCCACAATAAGCTGCCTCCCTCAGTACAATGGAAACCCGTTTTACACAGGAGAGTCTTAACTGTGCCAGCCCTCCTTCCCCAATACAATGAAGACCCCTCTAACACGAGAGAGTCTTTACCATGCCAGCGCTCCCTCCCCCAATACAATGGAGACCCCTCTAACACGGGAGAGTCTTTACTACACCAGCACTCCCTCCCCCAATACAATGGAAACCCCTCTAACACTGGAGAGTCTTTACTATGCCAGCGCTCCTTCCTCCAATACAATGGAGACCCCTCTAACAAGGGAGAGTCTTTACTGTGCCAGCGCTCCCTCCCCCAATACAATGAAGACCCCTCTAACACGGGAGAGTCTTTACCATGCCAGCGCTCCCTCCCCCAATACAATGGAGACCCCTCTAACACGGGAGAGTCTTTACTACACCAGCACTCCCTCCCCCAATACAATGGAAACCCCTCTAACACGGGAGAGTCTTTACTATGCCAGCGCTCCTTCCTCCAATACAATGGAGACCCCTCTAACAAGGGAGAGTCTTTACTGTGCCAGCGCTCCCTCCCCCAATACAATGGAGACCCCTCTAACAGCGGAAGAGTCTTTACTACACCAGCACTCCCTCCCCCAATACAATGGAAACCCCTCTAACACGGGAGAGTCTTTACTATGCCAGCGCTCCTTCCTCCAATACAATGGAGACCCCTCTAACAAGGGAGAGTCTTTACTGTGCCAGCGCTCCCTCCCCCAATACAATGGAGACCCCTCTAACAGCGGAAGAGTCTTTACTACACCAGCACTCCCTCCCCCAATACAATGGAAACCCCTCTAACAGCGGGAGAGTCTTTACTATGCCAGCGCTCCTCCTCCAATACAATGGACACCCCTCTAACAATACATTGGAGACCCCTCTAAAAGCAGGAGAGTCTTTAGTGCGCCAGCGCTCCCTCCCCCAATACAATGGAGACCCCTCTAACATGGGAGAGTCTTTACTAAGCCAGCACTCCCTCCCCCAATACAATGGAGACCCCTCTAACAACGGGAGAGTCTTTAGTGCACCAGCGCTCCCTCCCCCAATACAATGGCGACCACTCTAACACTGGAGAGTCTTTACTACGCCAGCACTCCCTCCCCCCAATACAATGGAGACCCCTCTATCAGCGGGAGAGTCTTTAGTGCGCCAGCACTCCCTCCCCCAATACAATGGAAACCCCTCTAACACGGGAGAGTCTTTAGTGCGCCAGTGTTCCCTTCCCCAATACAATGGAAACCCCTCTAACAGCGGGAGAGTCTTTAGTGCGACAGTGTTCCCTTCCCCAATACAATGGAAACCCCTCTAACATCGGGAGAGTCTTTAGTGCGCCAGCGCTCCCTCCCCCAATACAATGGAGACCCCTCTAACAACGGGAGAGTCTTTAGTGCACCAACGCTCCCTCCCCCAATACAATGGCGACCCCTCTAACACTGGAGAGTCTTTACTACGCCAGCACTCCCTCCCCCCAATACAATGGAAACCCCTCTAACACGGGAGAGTCTTTAGTGCGCCAGTGTTCCCTTCCCCAATACAATGGAGACCCCTCTATCAGCGGGAGAGTCTTTAGTGCGCCAGCACTCCCTCCCCCAATACAATGGAAACCCCTCTAACAGTGGGAGAGTCTAATTCAATACTGAAGAATATGTCGGCTTTTTATAAATTCCAGTAATGATGATAATAATAATAAATATATATTAAAATTGAAGAATGTTGCTGACCTTACTCCGTACCCAATACTGAATCCCTATAAAAGATGGAAAAGCTCAGCAGTTTGTAATGAGTTAATCAATCTCTTTACACAGAATACTTTGCTAATACAGAAACCCTCAGTAAATTTCAGGGGTGACAGGTTCACCCCATTCTGGAGGACAAAGCATGCACTACGGCTCACGCCAGACCTGAAGAGCTTACACTCTAATTGGTCATTCAGAACATCTAATTTCAGTTGCAGCCAAACAATTCTAAGAGATGTGTAAAGCACTAATTAAACCCCGAGATAGGAGAATAACCCAACACTGGCATTCTTTTAGTTTTCAGAATTTTTTGCTTTGGGGGATGGAGGGAGAGGGGGGGGAGAGGGGGTTAGTTTAGCAGAATTCTATTAATAACGTGGGTGATGTGTCTTCTCTGACTGAGACTGGGGCTCATTGGAAAGTCTCCCTCCCCCCCCCCCCTTGTCAGGCCGTGCTCAGGTGGGATGTTACCTATGATAAAGTAATGGCTAGGGGAGGGCTAGGGGCTTACTGTGGGTTTTAATTGTTGGTGTTTGCTGATTGGCTGCTCAGATTTTGGCAGTCAGGGCAGCCCCTGTATATGCAGAGCCCAGGTGTTTGTGTCTCAGACAAATCTAAATTCTTACAGAAGGTGAACTCTACAACATGAGATCTTTAACAAGGTATGGATCGAATGGGGGGAGATTATAACAACGTATGGATCAAATTGGGGGAGATTATAATAATGTATGGATCTAATGGGGGAGATTATAACAATGTGTGGATCGAATGGGGGGAGATTATAACAATGTATGGATCTAATGGGGGAGATAATAACAATGTGTGGATCGAATGGGGGGAGATTATAACAATGTATGGATCTAATGGGGGAGATTATAACAATGTATGGATCTAATGGGGGGAGATTATAACAATGTATGGATCTAATGGGGGAGATTATAACAATGTATGGATCTAATGGGGGGAGATTATAACAATGTGTGGATCGAATGGGGGAGATTATAACAATGTATGGATCTAATGGGGGGAGATTATAACAATGTATGGATCTAATGGGGGAGATTATAACAAGATATGGATCTAATGGAAGGAGATTATAACAAGATATGGATCAAATAGGGGGAAATTATAACAAGATATGGATCTAATGGGGGGAGATTATAACAAGGTATGGATTTAATGGGGGAGATTATAACAATGTATGGATCGAATGGGGGGAGATTATAACAAGATATGGATCAAATAGGGGGAAATTATAACAAGATATGGATCTAATGGGGGGGAGATTATAACAAGGTATGGATTTAATGGGGGAGATTATAACAAGGTATGGATTTAATGGGGGCATAGAAAGATATTATGACAAGGTCTGGCTCTAATGGTGGGCATTTGGAGAGATTATAACAAGGTATGAATGTAATGGGGGAGATAAAACAAAGTATGGATCTAATAGGGGGCACTGGGTAGATATTATAACTAGGTATGAATGTATGAATTTGGAGAGATTATAACAAGGTATGGATCTAATGAGGGGAATGAGATTATAAAAAGGTATGGATCTAATGTAAAGGGTCATTGGGGAAGATTATAACAAGGTATGGATCTAGTGAGAAGGGTCATTGGGAAAGATTATAACAAGGTATGGATCTAAAGGGAGGACATGGGGAGAGGTTATAACAAGGTAAGGATCTAAAGGGGGAACACGGGGTAGAGATTATAACAAGGTATGGATCTAATGGAGGGACATGGAGAGATTATAGCAAGGTACGGATATAATGAGGGGGTATGGGGGAGTATAACAAGGTATGGATCGATTGGAGTGGGGCATGAGGAGAGACTATAACAAGGTATGGATTTTATGGGGGGCATGGGGGAGAGACTATAACAAGGTCTAATGAAGGGGACATGAGGGAATCTAACAAGGTATGGACCTATGTATGTAGAGTGACTATAACAAGGTATGGATCTAGTGAGGGGGCATGGGTGAAATTTAACAAGTTTTGGATTCAATGAGATGGGGTCATGGGAGAGACTGCATGAAGGTATGGATCTAATGAGGGTATTGGGGAGAATTAAACAAGGTACCACTTTCAGTGCCACTCAGAGGTCAATCTAATTCAAGGTATCACGAATCAGAGGGTGGTGGGCACATTGTTTGCTGTGGTTGGAAGCGGGATCAGACAGAAGGGTGTTGGCACAGTGTTGCCTTGCAATTGGCAGTGGGATCAGACAGAGCGGTGTTGCCTGCGATTGGCAGTGGGATCAGACAGAGCGGTGTTGGCAAAGTGGTGGCTGTGGTTGGCAGTGGAATCAGACAGGGCGGTGTTGGCATAGTGTTGGTTGTGGTTGGCAGTGGAATCAGACAGGGCGGTGTTGGCATAGTGTTGGTTGTGGTTGGCATGGGAGAGACTGCATGAAGGTATGGATCTACTGAGGGTATTGGGGAGAATTAAACAAGGTACCACTTTCAGTGCCACTCAGAGGTCAATCTAATTAAAGGTATCACGAATCAGAGGGTGGTGGGCACATTGTTTGCTGTGGTTGGAAGCGGGATCAGACAGAAGGGTGTTGGCACAGTGTTGCCTTGCGATTGGCAGTGGGATCAGACAGAGCGGTGTTGCCTGCGATTGGCAGTGGGATCAGACAGAGCGGTGTTGGCAAAGTGGTGGCTGTGGTTGGCAGTGGAATCAGACAGGGTGGTGTTGGCATAGTGTTGGTTGTGGTTGGCAGTGGAATCAGACAGAGAGGTGTTGGCATAGTGTTGGCTGTAGTTTGCAGTGGGATCAGACAGAGTGGTGTTGGCATAGTGTTGGCTGTGGTTGGCAGTGGAATCAGACAGAGTGGTGTTGGCACAGTGTTGGTTGTGGTTGGCAGTGGAATCAGACAGAGTGGTGTTGGCAGAGTATTGGCTGTAGTTCGCAGTGGGATCAGACAGAGCGGAGTAGGCACAGTGTTGGTTGTGGTTGGCAGTGGGATCAGACAGAGGGGTGTTGGCACAGTATTGGCTGTAGTTCGCAGTGGAATCAGACAGAGTGGTGTTGGCACAGTATTGGGTGTAGTTTGCAGTGGGATCAGACAGAGCGGTGTTTGCATAGTGTTGGCTTTGGTTGGCAGTGAGATCAGACAGAGCGGTGTTGACATAGTGTTGGCTGTGGTTGGCAGTGGAATGAGACAGTCTAGTGTTGACTGTAGTTCATAGTGGGATCAGACAGAGCGGTTTTGGCGTAGTGTTGGCTGTGGTTGGCAGTGGTTGTTGGCACAGTCTTGGCTGTGGTGGCTGGCACAGTTTTGGCTGTGGTAGTTGGCACAGTTTGGGCTGTGGTGGGCAGTGATGGTTTAGCACAGTTTGGGCTGTGGTGGGCAGTGGTGGTTGGCAGTATTTTGGATGTGGTGGGCAGTGATGGCTTGCACAGTTTTGGCTGTGGTGTGCAGTGGTGGTTGGCACAGTTTTGGCTGTGGTGGGCAGTGATGGTTTGCACAGTTTGGGCTGTGGTGGGCAGTGGTGGTTGGCACAGTTTTGGCTGTGGTGGTTGGCAGTTGGCAGTATTTTGGCTGTGGTGGGCAGTGATGGTTGGCAGTATTTTGGCTGTGGTGGGCAGTGATGGTTGGCAGTATTTTGGCTGTGGTGGGCAGTGATGGTTGGCAGTATTTTGGCTGTGGTGGGCAGGTGTTGGCATTTTGGCTGTGTGGGCATGGCTTGGCAGTATTTTGGCTGTGTTGGGCAGTAAAGGTTGGCAGTATTTTGGCTGTGGTGGGCAGTGATGGTTGGCAATATTTTGGCTGTGGTGGGCAGTGGTGGTTGGCAGTATTTTGGCTGTGGTGGGCAGTGATGGTTGGCACAGTTTTGGCTCTGGTGGTTGGCAGTATTTTGGCTGTGGTGGGCAGTGATGGTTGGCAGTATTTTGGTTGTGAGTATACAAAAGGAGATGGGAACCGCGCCTTATATTAACTGTATATACATACACTTTATATCTCTTGGTTGATGTAGATAATATATCCTCAAAAAAAGAGAACACAAAGAAAAAAAATAATAATAGTGTAGTATATTTAACAAATTTGAGAGGTGATATAAAGAGTGGAGATATTTTAAACTCACATTTGGTAGAGCTAATATGAAGCTCTACCGTAATTCGCACGGACGGTACAATCCCCGTCTCAGGATTAGGAATCCAAAGTCTTCAATACTCCAATAATATGGTGGTATAAATGGGATGAAAGAGAAGAGAGAGAAACTCCAATGGCGTGGTAACTCAGACTTCAAATGTAGAAGAAGTAAATGAAAGTAATTATACTCACATTTGCTAGAGCAGACAACTTGCTCTAGTATATAGGGCTTGCAGTGGTACAATCCCCACTGTAGGATATGTAGACCAGGAAGTGATGATGAAAATAAATTAAAAAGTATATCACTTTAAAAATGTTTAATAATAACAATAGTGACACTAATAAAACTTTTTTAATAAAGCTTTTTATATAGCCTTTTTGTTTTATTATTGTCACTATTGTTATTATTAAACATTTTTAAAGTGATATACTTTTTAATTTATTTTCATCATCACTTCCTGGTCTACATATCCTACAGTGGGGATTGTCTGCTCTAGCAAATGTGAGTATAATTACTTTCATTTACTTCTTCTACATTTGAAGTCTGAGTTACCACGCCATTGGAGTTTCTCTCTCTTCTCTTTCATCCCATTTATACCACCATATTATTGGAGTATTGAAGACTTTGGATTCCTAATCCTGAGATGTGGATTGTACCGTCCGTGCGAATTACGGTAGAGCTCCATATTAGCTCTACCAAATGTGAGTTTAAAATATCTCCACTCTTTATATTACCTCTCAAATTTGTTAAATATACTACACTATTATTATTTTTTTTCTTTGTGTTATCTTTTTTTGAGGATATATTATCTACATCAACCAAGAGATATAAAGTGTATGTATATACAGTTAATATAAGGCGCGGTTCCCTTCTCCTTTTGTATACTCATTGTCTTTCTACAAGGCTGGGAATCCTTGCTTTGGTTACTGCTGCCTATCCATCTCCTTTTTTTGTAGCGAGCACCTAACACACTTTACTTTTTTTCAGTATTTTGGTTGTGGTGGGCAGTGGTGGTTGACACAGTTTTGGCTGTGGTGGTTGGCAGTATTTTGGCTGTGGTGGGCAGTGATGGTTGGCAGTATTTTGGCTGTGGTGGGCAGTGGTGTTTGGTACAGTTTTGGCTGTGATGGTTGGCAGTATTTTGGCTGTGGTGGGCAGAGAAGGTTGGCAGTATTTTGGCTGTGGTGGGCAGTAATGTTTGGCAGTATTTTGGTTGTGGTGGGCAGTGGTGGTTGGCACAGTTTTGGCTGTGATGGTTGGCAGTATTTTGGCTGTGGTGGGCAGTGGTGGTTGGCAGTATTTTGGCTGTGGTGGGCAGTGATGGTTGGCACAGTTTTGGCTGTGGTGGTTGACAGTATTTTGGCTGTGGTGGGCAGTGATGGTTGGCAGTATTTTGGCTGTGGTGGGCAATGATGGTTGGCACAGTTTTGGCTGTGGTGGTTGGCAGTATTTTGGCTGTGGTGGGCAGTGGTGGTTGGCAGTAGTTTGGCTGTGGTGGGCAGTGGTGGTTGGCACAGTTTTGGCTGTGGTGGTTGGCAGTATTTTTGGCTGTGGTGGGCAGTGGTGGATTTGGCACAGTTTTGGCTGTGGTGGGCAGTGATGGTTGGCAGTGGTGGTTGGCACAGTTTTGGCTGTGGTGGTTGGCAGTATTTTGGCTGTGGTGGGCAGTGGTGATTGGCACAGTTTTGGCTGTGGTGGGCAGTGAAGGTTGGCAGTATTTTGGCTGTGGTGGCCAGTGATGGTTGGCAGTATTTTGGCTGTGGTGGGCAGTGATGGTTGGCAATATTTTGGCTGTGGTGGGCAGTGATGGTTGGCAGTATTTTGGCTGTGGTGGGCAGTGAAGGTTGGCAGTATTTTGGCTGTGGTGGGCAGTGATGGTTGGCAGTAATTTGGCTGTGGTGGGCAGTGATGGTTGGCAATATTTTGGCTGTGGTGGGCAGTGATGCTTGGCAGTATTTTGGCTGTGTTGGGCAGTAAAGGTTGGCAGTATTTTGGCTGTGGTGGGCAGTGATGGTTGGCAATATTTTGGCTGTGGTAGGCAGTGGTGGTTGGCAGTATTTTGGCTGTGGTGGGCAGTGATGGTTGGCAGTATTTTGGCTGTGGTGGGCAGTGAGGTTGGCAGTATTTTGGCTGTGGTGGGCAGTGATGGTTGGCAGTAATTTGGCTGTGAGGTAGGCAGTGATGGTTATATTTTAGCTGTAGTGAGCAGTGATACTTAGCAGTGGCCACAGCTGTGTTAGGCAGTAAGGTTAGCAGTGGCCCAGCTGTGGTAGGCAGTGATGTGAGATTTGCTTAATATTTACACACAGCTGTGGTAAGAGCAGTAGTAGTTGCTTGTGTACCTTAGCTGTAGTGGTTAGCAGTATTTTAGCTATGTGGTAGGCAGTAGTGGTGCTTAATGTGGCCCACAGCTGTAGTAGTTGCTTGGTATTTTAGCTGTGAGTAGGCAGTGAGTAGTTGCCAGTATTTTAGCTGTGAGAGGTAGGCAGTGTCGTTGCTTCAGTTTATGTAGTGGACTGAGAGTGAAAGGTTAGCACAGTATTTTGGCTGTGTTGGGCAGTGATGGTTGGCAGTATTTTGGCTGTGGTGGGCAGTGAAGGCTGGCACAGTTTTGGGTGTGGTGGGCAGTGGTGGTTGGCAGTATTTTGGCTGTAGTGGGCAGTGGTGGTTGGCAGTATTTTGGGTGTGGTGGGCAGTGGTGGTTGGCAGTATTTTGGCTGTAGTGGGCAGTGGTTGTTGGCAGTATTTTGGCTGTGGTGGGCAGTGGTGGTTGGCAGTATTTTGGCAATCATGTTATGTTTCCTTTCCATAGGCTCCTGGTGATGGCTTTAGCCACTGCTCTGCTGACATCCATGGTCACCGCACAAGGTGAGTCTCGTCATCAAGACTTCCCAACTCAATGGGCGTTTTTGTGTGAGTTGGAAATTGGGATTAGTTTATGCATTCACCTTGTCGTCACCAGAGCAAAAATGTGTATTTTAAATATCGTTTGTTAAATGAGTCATTTTAAAGTAAAGTTTATGTTTAGCTGCTAAATGTCTCAGGGAACACAGCAAAGCCTGCAGCAGGATATCTATGTTATATTATCAGAATTTAGAACTGCATACTGAGTGCATTGTCCAAATCCAAACAATGGTGTTTATGAGGACAATTCCTGGGAGCTCCGCTAGTAATAGCTAAGAAAATAGGGGGAAAAATGGCAGAACAGGACCTGAAACCTCAGGTATGGTTTGTGTCTGTGAGCAAGTCTGGTGGGGGGGAGGGGGCAGTAAACGTGATTTAGAAAGGTACTAGATTTTTGATGTCAGTGCTGAATTAAATACATTTTCCGAGTGAGTGATTGCCAAAGCACAGCAATAAAGCCTGAAGATTGCAATTTGGGTTTTAATTCACCAGAATTCAGAGTTTAGAAATTCAAATGTGGTTTTTTTTCCAGCAACTCACAGACAGAACATGGCCCGCCTTTTCTGAACGAGTTACTGGAGGGAAATGCAGCAATAATAAAACTTGCAGTATATCTTATCTAGAAACGAGTTGTTCACGGCGTTCTTGACCCCGTGGTCATGTCAGATTCACACGTTTTGTATGGTCCCTGCCGTGGCTGTATATTGGATTTTCTGTGATTGAGTTCTCATCACTATGTTTAAAAGAATTGCCTTCTGATCTGCAATCTGTCTCAGAATATAGAAACAAAATTCCACAAAATCCAAAATGCACCAAACTAAAGTCTAACTGCAATATAGCGAGCTAGGATATAATGTTTCTAATAAATAATAAAATCACAAAGGGATAAACGGGAAAAACAAGAAACTAATAAAGTGCCCCCTCTCATTTTCTAAAAGAAATCACCTCTTTTATAAAGCGTCCTACTGTAAAAAAACCTTTTCTTTGCCTTAGATGAAATCTCATTTCTTCCAGCCTAAATGTGTGACCTCGTGTCCTATGTATAGCCCTGTTTATGAATAGATTTCCAGATAATGGTTTGTATTGGCCCCAAATATATTTGTGTAATGTTATCATATCATATCAGGCGCCGTTTTTCTTAACTAAAGAGATTTCATTTTTTAACCTTTCTTCATAACTAAAGTGCTCCATTCCTTTTCTCAATTTTGTAGCTCGTCTCTGCACTTTTTCTGGTGATTAATAAAGAGGCAAAATTATATTTTCATCCTGAGAATTTATGCCCCTATTTATACATGACAAAACCTTACTGGCCTTAGCAACTGCAGATTGACATTGCGCATTGCTGCCTAATTTGTTTTCTATAACAATTCCCAAATCCTTCTCGTGTGTGATTATCCCTAATTCACTGCCATTTAGGGTGTAAGTTGCTTGTGCATTCTTGACCGCGAAGTGCATAACTTTGCATTTCTCTACATTAAATTTCATCTGCCATTTTAGTGCCCAGTTCCCCAATCTATGCAAATCCCTCTGCAGCAAATCAATCTCCTGCTCACATTTTATTACTTTACAAAGATTTGTGTCATGTGCAAACACCGAAACATGGCTTTCAATGCCTATTTCAAGATCATTTATAAATATGTTAAATAGAAGCGGTCCCAAAACAGAACCCTGAGGGAGACCACTTACCACTTTTGTCCAGCTTGAAAATTTACCATTAATGACAACTCTTTGTACTCTGTTTTTAAGCCAATGTTCTAACCAAGAACAAGCATTTTCATCTAGACCGATTTCCTTGAGTTTGAACACTAATCTATTGTGTGGAACTGTATCAAATGCCTTGGCAAAATCCAAATAGATCACATCCACTGCAACACCCTGATCTATACTTCTGCCTACTTCATTGTAGAATGCAATTAGGTTAGTTTGACATGACCTGTGCTTCATAAAACCATGCTGATTTTTGCTGATAACCATGTTCTTCCCAATGAATTCCTGAATATTATCCCTTAATAACCTTTCAAATATTTTACCAGCCACAGAAGTTAAGCTCACAGGTCTATAATTTGCAGGCAAGGATTCTGAACCCTTTTTAAATATAGGAACCACATCTGCCTTCCTCCAATCCTCTGGTACAACACCTGAAACAAAAGAATCTTGAAAAATTAAATACAGAGCTTTACTTATTTCCCCACTTAGCTCCCCAAGTACTCGTGGGTGAATAGCGTCAGGCCCCAGAGATTTATTTACATTAATTTTCCTTAACTGCTGTAGCACCTTGTCTCGAGTCATCCAATCACAAGTTATCTGCAAATTTTTTGCAACAATCATTTGCATATCTCTGGTCTTCATTAATGTATACTGGAGAAAAATAGTTATTTAAATTTCTGCCTTTTCCTGTGTTAGTGACATTGCTTATCTGTCCTTTTATTGGTGACATTGGTCGGCTTTGCTTGTACATTTAGATATATTTTATGGTTTTGGTTATCAAGATCTTTTCAATTCCTTTGTGAGGTGAGACTGCTGACATAAAGTCCCTAAATTCCTTCCCAACAAAACCTGTGCCAATGGACACCCACAAAACAAGTGCCCTCCATCCTACACCATGTGGTCAATGTCTGCATCGCACATCCACTTGTCCGGCATGCCCGTTCTTGGTGGGACGTCTCCATGTCAATGACCTGCTGGTGGGATGTCTCCAAGCCAATGTCCTGCCTGCCTTGGTGGGATGTCTCCATGCCAATGTCCTGCCTGCCTTGGTGGGATGTCTCCATGCCAATGTCCTGCCTGCCTTGGTGGGATGTCTCCATGCCAATGTCCTGCCTGCCTTGGTGGGATGTCTCCATGCCAATGTCCTGCCTGCCTTGGTGGGATGTCTTACTGATATAAATGCATTTTTTTTTTAAATTGGTGTGATTCTTGGTACTCTGTCTAATCTCCTGTCTCTTCCATAGAGGAACCAGTAACACAGTCAGACTTCACTCCGTCTGTCGACAGCTCAATTGCAGGTATGTGGAGAGTGTGGCTGGCAGGGAACTCTGCACAATGATTGGCTGGCAGGAAACTCTGCATGATGATTGGCTGGCAGGGACTCTGCACGATGATTGGCTGGCAGGGAACTCTGCATGATGATTGGCTGGCAGGGAACTCTGCACGATGATTGGCTGGCAGGGAACTCTGCACAGTGATTGGCTGGCAGGAAACTCTGCGCAATGATTGGCTGGCAGGAAACTCTGTGCGATGATTGGCTGGCAGGAAACTCTGCGCGATGATTGGCTGGCAGGCAACTCTGCACGATGATTGGCTGGCAGGGAACTCTGCACAGTGATTGGCTGGCAGGAAACTCTGCGCAATGATTGGCTGGCAGGAAACTCTGCGCGATGATTGGCTGGCAGGAAACTCAGCACAATGATTGGCTGGCAGGAAACTCTGCATGATTATTGGCTGGCAGGGACTCTGCACGATGATTGGCTGGCAGGCAACTCTGCACGATGATTGGCTGGCAGGCAACTCTGCGTGTTGATTGGCTGGCAGGGAACTCTGCATGATGATTGGCTGGCAGGGAACTCTGCACAATGATTGGCTGGCAGGAAACTCTGCATGATGATTGGCTGGCAGGGACTCTGCACGATGATTGGCTGGCAGGGAAGTCTGCATGATGATTGGCTGGCAGGGAACTCTGCACGATGATTGGCTGGCAGGGAACTCTGCACAGTGATTGGCTGGCAGGGAACTCTGCACAGTGATTGGCTGGCAGGAAACTCAGCACAATGATTGGCTGGCAGGAAACTCTGCATGATGATTGGCTGGCAGGGAACTCTGCACAGTGATTGGCTGGCAGGGAACTCTGCACAGTGATTGGCTGGCAGGTACTCTGCACGATGATTGGCTGGCAGGGAAGTCTGAATGATTGGCTGGCAGGGAACTCTGCACGATGATTGGCTGGCAGGGAACTCAGCACAATGATTGGCTGGCAGGAAACTCTGCATGATTATTGGCTGGCAGGGACTCTGCACGATGATTGGCTGGCAGGAAACTCTGCATGATGATTGGCTGGCAGGGAACTCTGCACAGTGATTGTCTGGCAGGGAACTCTGCACAGTGATTGGCTGGCAGGAAACTCTGCACGATGATTGGCTGGCAGGAAACTCTGCATGATGATTGGCTGGCAGGGAACTCTGAACGATGATTGGCTGGCAGGGAAGTCTGCATGATTGGCTGGCAGGGAACTCTGCACAATGATTGGCTGGCAGGGAACTCTGCACGATGATTGGCTGGCAGGGACTCTGCACGATGATTGGCTGGCAGGAAACTCTGCATGATGATTGGCTGGCAGGTACTCTGCACGATGATTGGCTGGCAGGAAACTCTGCATGATTATTGGCTGGCAGGGACTCTGCACGATGATTGGTTGGCAGGGAACTCAGCACAATGATTGGCTGGCAGGAAACTCTGCATGATTATTGGCTGGCAGGGACTCTGCACGATGATTGGTTGGCAGGAAACTCTGCATGATGATTGGCTGGCAGGGAACTCTGCACAGTGATTGGCTGGCAGGAAACTCTGCACGATGATTGGCTGGCAGGAAACTCTGCATGATGATTGGCTGGCAGGGAACTCTGCACAGTGATTGGCTGGCAGGGAACTCTGCACAGTGATTGGCTGGCAGGAAACTATGCACGATGATTGGCTGGCAGGGAACTCAGCACAATGATTGGCTGGCAGGAAACTCTGCATGATTATTGGCTGGCAGGGACTCTGCACGATGATTGGCTGGCAGGAAACTCTGCATGATGATTGGCTGGCAGGGAACTCTGCACAGTGATTGGCTGGCAGGGAACTCTGCACAGTGATTGGCTGGCAGGAAACTCTGCACGATGATTGGCTGGCAGGAAACTCTGCATGATGATTGGCTGGCAGGTACTCTGAACGATGATTGGCTGGCAGGGAAGTCTGCATGATTGGCTGGCAGGGAACTCTGCACAATGATTGGCTGGCAGGGAACTCTGCACGATGATTGGCTGGCAGGGAACTCTGCACGATGATTGGCTGGCAGGGAACTCTACACAGTAATTGGCTGGAAAGAAACTCTGCGCGATGATTGGCTGGCAGACAACTCTGTGCGATGATTGGCTGGCAGGAAACTCTGTGCGATGATTGGCTGGCAGGGAACTCTGCTCCACGTGTCTGTAGTTATAAACAATATTTATATTTTCGTTTGTTTGTTTTTTCTGTGTTTTAGAAAATGAGGAATCAACAGAACCACCTCAGGAAAGTAAGATACTCTATACATGCCACAGTACTGTTGGGGCAATACCTACCTGAGGCATGGATGTTTCTGTCAGAATAACTAGGAGAGGAAGTAACCCACCGGAAGCTAAAACAGACTGTGACAAACTGCCTTTTGCCCCTGGTTGTTGGAGGAGCCTGATTGCCAGCCTCCTGCCTCATGACTATGGCCCTGGGTTGTATGGCCCTTTAAAGACATTATTTGGGCATATGGGATTGTAACACACTTTTTCTGCCCCTTTGATTCCATGGGAGAATGTGCCTCTTCCCCTCCCCCTTTTTCCTGTCCCATTGTTCTCCAGCAGGGCGTTGTCCCTTGGACACTGCCAGACCAGTTTAAACTGGCTACTTCAGCCCTTGCAAAACTTTAACCCCATGGCAGATTTACTCTGTTCGTGGAATCTGAGCGCTGTTCACCTATATTGGGCGTTCAGATCCAAGCTATCTGGGGATAGGTTAAATGTGGGGGTTCTGTGTAATATAATAGGAATTATGTATTTTTACTGTTAGTGTAAAATTGAGATATTTTCTGTACCTGGAGATAATTGAGTCTACTGGCCTTAAGCCAATTATCTCCAGGATAGAGGGTAGGGATTTTACTGTGTATGTAGGAGTGTTATTTTGTTAATTAGTGTTCCCATTGGTTTGTGTCCCTTTTGTCACAGTTTACCACCAGGTCCAGGGGGTGTCCCTCTGGCCTGGAAACTTGTATAAAAGAAAGTCCTTTTGTGTGCATTAAACCCCTTCATGAAGTCTTGGCTCATGTTTGGGGGATGGGATTACTACACTCTGGGGATTGCTATATCACAATACTCCCCTGAGTTTAAGCTCTTGTAAGAGCTTGTTCCTGGTTCCTGCTCTCTGGATTCTAGGAGAAGTTCACCCACTGGAAGCTGAACCCTGGTTTTGGGTCCAGAGTGGGTGGAGGACGGTGAGACCCCAACCAAGCTGTGGCGGTTCGTGGGGTCTGCAGTGGTTATGGTGTCGAGTGGAGTGCTTGGAGCCATTGGTGAGCACTAGGAGCATCTGTCAGCGGAAGGTACCCAGTCGGGTTGTCAGGCGTTCCGTTACACAGGCATATAGATACCTACAGATATTGTCCTAGGTTTAATATAGAGGCCCCATAACTGTTGAAATCGTATTCCGTGTTTGATAAGCTGCCCTGAGTTTGGTATGGTGCACAGAGGCCTAGCGATGATATACAAGTAGTTTTATCTTCTTGCATCCATGTGCTGTGCATTATGGGACATTGTCCTTACAGGAGCTGTGTGTGTCTAGTAATACGTGTAAATAGAATACAAATCCCTGAATTGTACATTATGATAGCTGTCCATTCATTCTATGGAGGGTTTCTGGAGATGTATAAATCACCTCCAGATCTAAATAATGTATCTTGGGTTTTAAAAGACATCGGCGGAATACAGGATTAAATAAACATTACAGAGGTTTCATTGGTTGGCGGTATGACAGTGATGCCGTGTGTGTGTGTTTGGTATTACTTATCTCTGTATAATGATACTTGGCATCAGCTGAGTGAACGGACAGAGGGAAGGTCAGCATTGGATCTGATGTCAGAGTGATGCCTTTTATATAAATAGTGTGGGGCAGACCTGGCGGAGTACGAGCTACAGATATCATGACAATAAGCCAGCAGACCAAAGTGGGAGTCCCTGGCAACCACCCACAATAAATGACTGATCATAGCAGTGCCACCCACCCCCAGTGCAATGTCCTCCCCTCTAACAAAGGCTGCAATTTATTTTAACTCACATAATGTTACAGTAGAAGAACGGCTTCCTGAGATAACTGTGGGTCATCAGTCTTGTGTAATGGATGTTATTTGGGTTTGTTATCACTGGGTTATTGTTTAGGGTTAAAGCTAAGGATAGGGTTAAAGTTAAAGCTAGTGTTATGGTGAGGACTAAGGAAGTGAATTGGTTAAACTGTGATATACACAACCAGTAATTTGTGCTATTATGAACAGATTTTTTGTTTTTATAAGTCAACAAGAAAAAAAGAGAGCTAGGTTTTGGACTTCTATTGTTTCCAGCTATGTGAGTTTGGCTTGGCTGTCTGGGGCGGTTGCCGCCCCCCACTTGGTAGAAGTAGTTGGTGTGGTCATAGACATGGTACCACCTATCCCATTATCTTACATTTATCATACATTTCTCGTACCGTTGTCATGGCATGAGCCAGGCCTGGTTTTATAAGCTTGGCTGGCATTTGTACCATTTTTAAAGAAAACCTGAGTGAGCAGGCAAAACACATTGCTTTTATTTGTTACGGGATTCATATTCAACTGTAGGTTATAATAACAACATGGCACAATCATAATGCAAAACATGGCAACAAAGAAAAAACTGAAGTGACCCCTGTTCAAAATTCTGCATACCCTTAGAGATGGTGATGGCCACTCCAGAACCGTCACCTTTTTCTGCTGTAACCACTGGAGGGTCAACTTGGCCGTGTGCTTAGGGTCATTGCCATGCTAGAAAGTCCAAGAGAATCCCATGCGCAGCCTTCGTGCAGAAGAAAGCAAATTGTTTGCCAGTATTTTCTGATAACATGCTGCATTCATCTTGCCATCAAGATTCCCGGTGCCTTTAGAGCTCACACCCCCCCCAAAACATCAGTGAGCCACCACCATGCTTCACAGTGGGGATGGTATTCTTTTCACTATAGGCCTTGTTGACCCCTGTCCAAACACAGCACCTATGGTTGTGACCATAAAGCTCTATTTTGGTCTTGTGTGTGCCAGGACCTGCGAGGGTGACAAGGTGTTGTCGGATTCTTTCTGGCAACTCGACCATGCAGCTAATTTTTGTTCAAGTATCGTCGTATTGTGCTCCTTGAAACAACCACATCGTCTTTTTCCAGAACCGCCTGTATTTATCCTGAGGTTACCTGTGGGTTTTTCTTTGTATCTCGAACAATTCTTCTGGCAGGTGTGGCTGAAATCTTTCTTGGTATCAAGAGATCCCGAAATTTTCCACTTCTTAATAAGTGATTGAACAGTACTGGCTGGCACTTTCAAGGCTTTGGCTATCTTTTTATATCCATTTCCATCTTTATAAAGTTACATTACATTGTTACGCAGGTCTTTTGACAGTTCTTTTCTGCTCCCCATGGCTCAGTATCTAGCATGCTCAGTGCATCCACATGAGAGCTAACAAACTCAATGACTATTTATACACAGACACTAATGGAAATTTAAAAAGCCACAGATGTGGGAAATTAACCTTTTTATTGACATGTTAACTGCTGTGTGTCACCTTGCGTGTCTCTAACAAGGCCAAACATTCAAGGGTATGTAAACTTTTAATTAGGGCCATTTGGGTGATTTCTGTTATCATTATGATTTAAAAAGGAGCCAAACAACTATGTGATAATAAATGGCCTCATATGATCACTATCCTTTGCATTTTTTGCATGATCAGTCATATTTTCAAAATTAATGTCAAAATGTCACAATTTCTGCCAGGGTATGCAAATATCTGAGCACAACTATAATTGGAAATGGGCCAGGGTTTCAGTTAATGATAAGGGTAGGGTTAGGACCAGGGTTTCAGTTAATGCTAAGGGTAGGGTTAGGGCTAGGGTTTCAGTTAATGCTAATGATAAGGTTAGGGCCAGGGCTTAGGGCCAGGGTTTCAGTTAATGCTAAGGGTAGGGTTGGGCCAGGGTTTCAGTTAATGCTAAGGACAAGGTTAGGGCCAGGGCTTAGGGCCAGGGTTTCAGTTAATGCTAAGGGTAGGGTTGGGCCAGGGTTTCAGTTAATGCTAAGGGTAGGGTTAGGGCCAGGGTTTCAGTTAATGCTAAAGGTAGGCTTAGGGCAAGGGTTTCAGTTAATGCTAAGGGTAGGGTTAGGGCCAGGGTTTTAGTTAATGCTAAGGATAGGGTTAGGACCAGGGTTTCAGTTAATGCTAAGGTTAGGGTTAGGGCTAGGGTTTCAGTTAATGCTAAGGGTAGAGTTAGGGCCAGGGTTTCAGTTAATGCTAAAGGGAGAGTTAGGGCCAGGGTTTCAGTTAATGCTAAGGGTAGAGTTAGGGTCAGGGTTTCAGTTAATGCCAAGGGTGGAGCTAGGGCCAGGGTTTCAGTAAATGCTAAGGGTAGGGTTAGGGCCAGGGTTTCAGTTAATGCTAAGGGTAGAGTTAAGACCAGGGTTTCAGTTAATGCTAAGGATAGGGTTAGGGCCAGGGTTTCAGTTAATGCTAAGGGTAGAGTTAGGGCCAGGGTTTCAGTTAATGCTAAAGGTAGAGTTAGGGCCAGGGTTTCAGTTAATGCCAAGGATAGGGTTAGGGCCAGGGTTTCAGTTAATGCTAAGGGTGGGGTTAGGGCCAGGGTTTCAGTTAATGCTAAGGGTAGAGTTAGGACCAGGGTTTCAGTTAATGCTAAGGATAGGGTTAGGGCCAGGGTTTCAGTTAATGCTAAGGGTAGAGTTAGGACCAGGGTTTCAGTTAATGCTAAGGGTAGGGTTAGGGCCAGGGTTTCAGTAAATGCTAAGGGTAGGGTTAGGGCCAGGGTTTCAGTTAATGCTAAGGGTAGAGTTAGGACCAGGGTTTCAGTTAATGCTAAGGATAGGGTTAGGGCCAGGGGTTAGGGCCAGGGTTTCAGTTAATGCAAAGGGTAGAGTTAGGACCAGGGTTTCAGTTAATGCTAAGGGTGGGTTAGGGCCAGAGTTTCAGTTAGTGCCAAGGATGGAGCTAGGGCCAGGGTTTCAGTAAATGCTAAGGGTAGGGTTAGGGCTAGGGCTTCAGTTAATGCTAAGGTTAGGGTTAGGGCCAGGGTTTCAGTAAATGCTAAGGGTAGGGTTAGGGCCAGGGTTTCAGTTAATGCTAAGGTTAGGGTTAGGGCCAGGGCCAGGGTTTCAGTTAATGCTAAGCTTAGGGCCAGGGTTTCAGTTAATGCTAAGGGTAGAGCTAGAGCCAGGGTTTCAGTTAATGCCAAGGGTGGGGTTAGGGCCAGGGTTTCAGTTAATGCTAAGGATAGGGTTAGGGCCAGGGTTTCACTTAATGCTAGGGCAAGGGTTTCAGGCTAAGGGTAGAGTAGGGTTTCAGTTAATGCTAAGGGTAGGGTTAGGGTCAGGGTTTCAGTTAATGCCAAGGGTAGAGCTAGGGCCAGGGTTTCAGTAAATGCTAAGGGTAGGGTTAGGGCCAGGGTTTCAGTTAATGCTAAGGGTAGGGTTAGGGCCAGGGTTTTAGTTAATGCTAAGGATAGGGTTAGGACCAGGGTTTCAGTTAATGCTAAGGGTAGGGTTAGGGCTAGGGTTTCAGTTAATGCTAAGGGTGGGGTTAGGGCCAGGGTTTCAGTTAATGCTAAGGGTAGAGTTAGGGCCAGGGTTTCTGTTAATGCCAAGGGTAGGGTTAGGGCCAGGGTTTCAGTTAATGCTAAGGGTAGGGTTAAGGGTAGGGTTAGGGCCAGGGTTTCAGTTAATGCCAAGGGTGGAGCTAGGGCCAGGGTTTCAGTAAATGCTAAGGGTAGGGTTAGGGCCAGGGTTTCAGTTAATGCTAAGGGTAGAGTTAGGACCAGGGTTTCAGTTAATGCTAAGGGTAGGGTTAGGGCCAGGGTTTCAGTTAATGCTAAGGGTAGAGTTAGGACCAGGGTTTCAGTTAATGCTAAGGGTAGAGTTAGGACTAGGGTTTCAGTTAATGCTAAGGGTAGAGTTAGGGCCAGGGTTTCAGTTAATGCTAAGGGTAGAGTTAGGGCCAGGGTTTCAGTTAATGCTAAAGGTAGGGTTAGAGCCAGGGTTAGGGCCAGGGTTTCAGTTAATGCTAGAGGGTGGGGTTAGGGCCAGGGTTTCAGTTAATGCTAAGGGTAGGGTTAGGGCCAGGGTTTCAGTTAATGCTAAGGAGTTAGGACCAGGGTTTCAGTTAATGCTAAGGGTAGGGTTAGGGTCAGGGGTTTCAGGGTTAATGCTAGGGCCAGGGTTTCAGTTAATGCTAAGGTTAGGGCCAGGGTTTCAGTTAATGCTAAGGGTTTCAGTTAAGCCAAGGTAGGGTTAGGGCCAGGGTTTCAGTTAATACTAGGGTGGGGTTAGGGCCAGGGTTTCAGTTAATGCTAAGGGTAGGGTTGGGCCAGGGTTTCAGTTAATGCTAAGGTAGGAGTTAGGGCCAGGGTTTCAGTTAATGCTAAGGGTAGAGTTAGGGTAGGGTTTCAGTTAATGCTAAGGGTAGGGTTAGGGTCAGGGTTTCAGTTAATGCCAAGGGTAGAGCTAGGGCCAGGGTTTCAGTAAATGCTAACGGTAGGGTTAGGGCCAGGGTTTCAGTTAATGCTAAGGGTAGGGTTAGGGCCAGGGTTTTAGTTAATGCTAAGGATAGGGTTAGGACCAGGGTTTCAGTTAATGCTAAAGGTAGGGTTAGGGCTAGGGTTTCAGTTAATGCCAAGGGTGGGGTTAGGGCCAGGGTTTCAGTTAATGCTAAGGGTAGGGTTAGGATCAGGGTTTCAGTTAATGCTAAGGGTAGAGTTAGGGCCAGGGTTTCAATTAATGCTAAGGGTAGGGTTAGGGCCCGGGTTTCAATTAATGCCAGGGTTTCAGTTAATGCTAAGGGTAGTGTTAGGGCCAGGGTTTCAGTTAATGCCAAGGGTAGGGTTAGGGCCAGGGTTTCAGTTAATGCTAAGGGTAGGGTTAGGGCCAGGGTTTCAGTTAATGCTAAAGGTAGGGTTAGGGCCCGGGTTTCAATTAATGCTAAGGGTAGGGTTAGGGCCCGGGTTTCAATTAATGCCAGGGTTTCTGTTAATGCTAAGGGTTGTGTTAGGGCCAGGGTTTCAGTTAATGCCAAGGGTGGGGTTAGAGCCAGAGTTTTAGTTAATGCTAAGGGTAGGGTTAGGGCTAGGGTTAATGCCAAGGGTAAGGTTAGGTGGAAAGAATATTGGCTCTCATACAATGATGGGTTTTGTAGAGATATGATTAGAGGGTTCAGAATAACTAATTTGGGGGGGATCTGCTTTACATCTTTCTACATTCTGAGGGTCTCCCTAATTTTCATTGTGATGGGGTATGGAACCCGCCTACTTAGACAGACCCAGGAAGAAATATTTATAACCCTGTATCTCTCTTCTTGCAGCAGAGCCAGTGACAGAGACCACCAACCCACCGCCAGGTAAGGTCTTATCACTGGCAGGGCTGAGAGCCTGGAGCTTTATTGCCGATCCCCAATAATAATGTATTTTTTCTATGGTTTGCTGCAGAGGACCCTGTCAGTTTGCATGTTGGTCAGAGATCCCAGACAGAAGGAATCGCAGGAAGCGCATCATCCAACAGCGAATCTTCCAACAGTGAAAATAATGATAGCTTCAATGTGGAGACCATGCAAGCTGGTGAGATGCAGGATTTAAAATAAACCAACATTAACACATAACAATCATGGCAGGATCTGGAAAATAAAACATATTATACTGGGATCCATAAAATAAGTCCCCTATTACACAATGGTCCAGAAAATAAAACCCTCTTTTTTCTATTTTCTTTAAACACTATATTGAGGTCCAGAGCATATTACAATTTATGATACATGGATCCAGAAAGTAAGCCAATTTATTGCACAGGGATCCATAAGATTAAAAACATTTTTATAAATACATTTATTTTACCTGGATCTGTGACATGAAACTATGTTGTATAAAGCGGTTTTGTTTTGTTTTTTTGTAAAGAAATCTAGAAAATAAACAAATTACTTTTAAAACTATTCATTATACAGGGATAGAGAAAATAACTTTATTATATAGAGACCCAGAAAGTAAAGCCCATCATTTCACCTAGATCCAGAAATAAAACCCTTTACTATACGATAACCCAGAATATAAACAGTATTTCAATACGGGATTCTGGTCCGTAACGTGCACCATTGTACATGGATCCCATTATTATACAGGGATCCAGAAAAGAAAATGATTTTAAAACAAAGATCCAGAAAATGAAACCATCCTCTAAACCGATATACAAAAAAAAAAAAAGCCCATCACTAGAACAGGATCCAGATCATAAATGATTATGTTCGGCAAAAATGTTTTGTTTGCTCTGTGAATTATGGAGAATTAAAACTCAAATTGCAAAGCATTTTGGGACATAGCAGCAGAGGAGAAATTCACCAATTTAGCTGTTTTCTAGCCTAACTAATGTGGTTTAAATTAAGAAGTTCAGTTTAACTTCCACTTAAATAGCTTCATTTCTGGGTTTCATGAAAAGTATTTAGAAAATTGGGCAGACTAGATGGGCTGAATAGCTCTTATCTGCTGTCACATTCTATGTCTCTCTCTCTCTCTGTGTCTGGGTTCTCACGCTTCTGCAGTCTCTTCTCTGACAGTGTCTCGGTTCTTGGTTCTCACAGTCTCTTCTCTGACAGTGTCTCGGTTCTTGGTTTCACGGTCTCTTCTCTGACAGTGTCTCGGTTCTTGGTTTCACGGTCTCTTCTCTGACAGTGTCTCGGTTCTTGGTTTCACGGTCTCTTCTCTGACAGTGTCTCGGTTCTTGGTTTCACGGTCTCTTTCCTGACAGTGTCTCGGTTCTTGGTTTCACAGTCTCTTTCCTGACAGTGTCTCGGTTCTTGGTTTCACGGTCTCTTCTCTGACAGTGTCTCGGTTCTTAGTTTCACGGTGTCTTCTCTGACAGTGTCTCGGTTCTTAGTTTCACGGTGTCTTCTCTGACAGTGTCTCGGTTCTTGGCTTCATGGTGTCTTCTCTGACAGTGTCTCGGTTCTTGGTTTCAGGGTGTCTTCTCTGACAGTGTCTCAGTTCTTAGTTTCATGGTGTCTTCTCTGACAGTGTCTCAGTTCTTAGTTTCATGGTGTCTTCTCTGACAGTGTCTCAGTTCTTTATTTTATGGTGTCTTGTCTGACAGTGTCTCAGTTCTTTATTTTATGGTGTCTTCTCTGTCAGTGTCTCGATTCTTGGTTTCATGGTGTCTTCTCTGACAGTGTCTCAGTTCTTGGTTTCATGGTGTCTTCTCTGACAGTGTCTCGGTTCTTGGTTTCATGGTGTCTTCTCTGACAGTGTCTCGGTTCTTGGTTTTATGGTCTCTTCTATCCATGTTTAGCTATAAATCTGTTTGTTCCAAGGTTTAGCTCTGTCTTTTTGTCTCTTTATTCCAGGAACAGGTCTTGATCTTCCAGCAGGATCTCTGGAGTCCAAAGAAAGTAAGAAATCAGTAAATTTGGATTTGTAATATATGAGAGGGAGAGCATAGAAGTGCGTGTTTTGTGTGTTATATAAAATGTTAGATCATTTCTATCATTCATTTACAGATGTGGATCCAGAGTCAGAAGAATCATTTACACTCCCAGGTAAACATTTTAACACTGTCTGTCTGTCTGTCTGTCTATCTGACCGATCTATCTCGAAGGCAGATAAAGCTGCATTATAATAATCACTCAGCAAGACAATGAGATTTTGCATAAACCTGGATTTTGTGATATCTTCAGTGAGAAAAGCATGAGCAATATTTTCAGCCTGAGAGGGCAGGACCAAGGAAGGGCTTACATTTTAAGAGCCATACCCAGCCATACAGCCATACAGGGTGCAGAAGGCCAGCGCTTAGTAAGTTAGAGGCAGTCAGGCAGATTAATATCATTAATTACAGATTGAAAGTTTGTGGACGGAGGGCGGATGGTTTTGTTTTAGAAAGGAAAGGATATGTTCTGGTAAGTGTAGGATGTCCAAGAAGGTAGAGAGGCATCAACAGCAAGATCTAAGAGAGGACTCGCCAGCTATGATACGCAGAGTTACTTTGCACTGTACGGGAGGCTGCAGGACCCAAACAGGCTGCGGAGAGCTAAGAATCACCCCCGTATCAGGCCTGACAGGGGTCAAAGTGGGACCTATTTAGAGATCTGTGCCATACCGCAACGGGCACTTAGTGGCAGCCTTCACTGATAAATTAGGAGGAAGTGGTTTCAGATCCCAGGATCCTTGTGAAGGAAACACTGCGTGGAGGAGAGCACACCACAACAGCTACTGCCATCATGTACCTGGCCAGCCCAGCCCCCAGGGAAGCCACCCTCCTCCTGAAAAGCATAGTGACTAATAGCATTGTCAATGAGTGTGTGTAGCAGTGTGATTGTGTGTCTTGCAGATTTTGTCAGCTACCCATTACAAAGCTCACATTCACACACATGATACCCACAGTAACGGATTCAGAGGGGTGGACAATGGGGCAATATCCTCCCCCCTGAGCAAAGGTAAGAAGGGATGGGGGACATAAAGATTACTTTAAAAAATCTTAGGTAATTTAAAAAAAATCTATACATTTATTTATTTTAGATGAATATATATTTGCCTCCATCTGCCTCTCCCACACACCATACAGTCCTGAACAGGGCCGGACTGGGAGAAAAATTCGGCCCGGGCATTTTTTTTTAACACAGTGGCCCACTAAAAGGGGGCGGGGCAGAGGAGGTGTGTTTTGTCATCACCAATGACAAACACACCCCCTCTCAAAGTTAGCATGTTGGTTCAATGCTCTTCCAGGGCAGACCATGCGCAAAGCTCTGCTGAAGAGCTCTAGCATGAGAAAAAAGCCCTGTATTTGTTCTGCACAGTGCAAGCAAATTTAATAACATGCTTGCACTGTGTTTCCTTGCAACTTGTCTCTGGTGTCTCTATAAATGGATACCAGGAGACAAAAGGGCCAGGAAAGAGTATTGTGCATGTGAGCCTGCTTGTGGGATTGCGTGTGTGTAGAGTGAGCTGGTCGTGGTGTGGTATTGTGTAGTAAGGTCGATTTTAGTCATGTTTGTGGTGTAATGAAATGCATATGTGGCTATGGGCTGTAGAGAATGTATGTATTGGGGATATAGCAAGTGTGTGCATACAGGCTATAGTGTGCGTGTGTATAGGTGATGTAGTGTGTGTTTGCTTACAAGGAATCTAGTGTGTGTATAGGGGATCCAGAGTGTGTATGTTAAGAGTGTAGTGTGTGTGTGTGTGTACATATATATATATATTTGGAAGTATTGTGTATGTGTGTGGTGCAGTGTGTTGGGGGGGTTCTGTGTGTGTGTGAGGGGTGCAGTGTGTGTGAGAGTGCCGTGTGAGAGAGTGCTGTGTGTGATGGGTGTGAGTGCTGTGTGTGATGGGTGTGAGAGTGCTGTGTGTGATGGCTGAAAGAGTGCTGTGTGTGATGGGTGTGAGAGTGCTGTGTGTGATGGGTGAGAGTGTGAGAGTGCTGTATAAATGTTAGAATGGATTGTGTGTGTGTGTGGGGGGGGTAAATAAAAACAAAAAACAGGCATTAAATCCCCCCTCCCTTCTTACCTTTAGCCTGGGAGGGGGGGGGACCGGCATGCTGGCACCTGGGACTGGGAGGTGGGGTGGCGGTGTTCCCTGGTGGTCCTCGTTGGTGAGTGAACTCTAGCCTGTGGGGCTAGAGTTCACTCTTGCGTGATCCGGTCGTTACCATGGCAACGCGCCGATCTCGCGAGAGGAACCCGGCGGAGCTTCAAGTTATGGTCCTTCTCTCCTGGCGGCTGTCTCCCTCCCTCTCTCCCCGCCGGCGACCGCATTTGGGCCGGTGAGGGAGAGCTTTGATCTCCCCACCGGCCCGTCGTGGCAAACAGCCGGGCCGGCGCTAGGAGAGTGCATAGACCGGCAGGGGAGATCCTGGGACCTCCCCTGCGGGCCTCAGCCCATGGACATCGCGGCCCACCGGACATTTGCCCGGGGGGGAAGATGGCCAGTCCGGGCCTGGTCCTGTACCATTCCCAACAGTCACACACTGCTTCCCTCACATGCACACTGCACAGCGCACACACTGCTTCCCTCACACACAAACTGCACAACACACGCTGCTTCTCTCACAGTCACACACTGTACCTGTCACACCCTCTGCACAACACACACTGCATCCCTCACACGCCAACTGCACAACCACAGGCATACACTGCACAACGCACACACTGCACCCCTTACACACCCACTGCACAACGCACATTGCAACCGTCACAGAGACACACACACACATCCTACTGCCTCATCTTCTATTACAGGCCCAGCAGATCCCAGGTAAGTTGTCAAATGGTTTGACTACTTACTCTGGGAGGGAACCATGGCACTTCTGGTACCATACCCACTACAGAGAGATGTAGTTGTTATTGTGCCTTTAAATAATCCTTTAAATAATCTACTAGCGCCACTCCCGAGATCAGGTTCTGGATCTGCCCATGGCTACACAACACACATACATACATATATAATGCACACAATACCACAAACTGCTCACACACAATATAACACCACACACACACTTGCAAATACAATACAAAGCAGCCACAAGAAGCAGAATACACCAACGTACATACATTAAAAAAAATAAACAAAAGCAAACACCAAAGGACTTCAAAGTCTTGTTTTGGCAAAGTGCTGCTCAATGGTTGTCCATCCCTAAGGAAAGTGATGGTAAAAGGTCAGATGAGGACAGAAGATCTGCTGATGGGTGATACACGTCTGCCAAGAGAAGGCTAGATGACCATCCTTGTGTGACACTAACAGGAGGTAGAAGGGAAAGTGGTGACTTACAGGAGGTATGGGATAAGACAATTAAGTGAAAGCCATAGGAGATCTTCATTAAGACAGTGCAGTAGGGCAAAAACAAGTGGACAAAAAGATCATCAAAACGAATGTAATCTACCATAGCACAGTTTGATATCAAACATCAATATATAACCAAACATACAGGATGGTCCTCTGTAGTATTGGTATTATACAGGAGAGAAGAGGCCCCCCGGGTTATATAGAGTGTCCCATGGTTATATAGAGGGCCCCAGGGTTAGATAGAGGGCCCCTGGGTTACATAGAGTGCCCCATAGTTATTTAGAGGGCCCCTGGGTTATACAGAGTGCCCTATGGTTATATAGAGTGCCCGGGATTATATAGAGAGTCCCGATGTTATTTAGAGGGTCCCAGGATTATATAGAGGGCCCCAGGGTTATATAGAGGGTCCCAGGGTTATATAGAGGGTCCCAAGGTCCACCAACCAGAGGGCACAAGAGGGTCCCAGGGTTATTTAAAGGGTCCCATGGGTGATATAGAGGGCCCCACGTTATACAGAGGACAGGAAAAGTATTATTCATTTCACTTCTTTCTTTTAGCTGGAAAATGAAACACCTGCAAACGTTCCCAAACTGTGAATATCTCACCGTCTTGTGGTCTTTTTCCTGTAACACTGGTCGTTCCTGGGAGGTGGTGGATGAAGACTGTGCTGGGCAATAAAGGCACCGACATGGGCAGTAAATCATAATAAAATAGCAATACTACCAGGAATCCATAGAAGAAATGCAGAAACAATAGCTGTATTCCTGAGACGACTTTAGCTGTAGATACACACCTCCATTCAAGTCTTCCTTTCTGTTATTAGAACACCACGTCCTGTGATGTACCCCATTCCTGAAGCACCTTCCAGCCCCCAATGAGTAGCTCTGCTGTGGGACAGGTGTGCCAGTTATACTGCCGTTCAGTAATGTGACCCCTGGAGCGTGTAACACATGATATGAAGACTCTGCCACCCCCGTGATTGTCAAGTGTAATAAAGTCTTATCAGCATGTTCACTGTATCCTCTGTAATTAATGTTAACAATTTATGAATATGGAGGCAGCTCGGATTGACCAAATAGTTGGGAACCGGTCAACAGCCACAGCACATTATAAACCAGAGAAATAAATAGATATTGGAACAAGTCCAGTATCCCAGTGCTAATACACTTTCATTCATTGACAAATCTTTGCCAGCTCCATTCCTTTTCCAGATCAGATATTTAGGCCTAGAATTGCACCTCCCAATTTAGTGGATAAATGGAAATGTTAATAACAGCCAAACTTGGCTTATTGTTGTCCCCATCCGCTCCATTGACAACTATCGGCACATTAGCCACTGATACATGCGGTTCCGATTCCCCAAAGAAGCAACCATCATACATATCACTTCATTTCCACCTTCTTGCTGCTTTCATCGGAGAGAAATCACTCCAGAATTTTGCAGGATGAGTATAGATCTTTATTTATAATGATTAAGAGAACAAAGAAAGTTTTAGTAATGGTGAGGTCTCCCTCAGAGCCTGTTGACGCGGAGCTTTTATCTCAGACTATATTCTGTCACACAACGTGCCATTGGTTTATCAAGAGATCTAGAATAGACAAGTTTGTCAGATAGTGACTATTACAGGGCACACTCAGAGTGGTGATGGCTTAGCAGATGTTTGTCGCATTAGTAATATGAAAACTGAAGTGCAGTACTAGACAGCTCAGCTGTTCAGTTTAAATAGGGTGCCAAACTAAAGACACCCCTATTCTGACATGCTCCATAATACCCTATTGATGTTACTGGCTGTCAGTCATACGAGGTTGCCATGGGAGGTAATGTAGCTTTACTTTGTACCAGACGCACCAATATGGCAGTCCTACAGGATGGAATGATCGTGCACGTCTCCCAAGAGTCTATCGATGCCTGGGAGATGTGACGTGATCTGTATTTGAAGGTCATGGCCCGTCCCTTAGCATTTGCGTATTTAGGCCGCTGAGACATGCGGGTGCCACCAGCACAGGGAGGGGAACGGAGATGAGTCTTGACAGTTTGAGTAAAGCTGGCAGAACATTACAGCAAATATTAAAAATCAGAAAGGTTGGCCACTATTGGTCTAGAGCAGGTTTCCCAATTGCGGTTTGGTGAGAACATAACTGGGGTTCTGCCACGATTTGCCCATCTGGTTGAGGGACCATGCACTTAGGGTCACTTCAAGGGTATTGCTGATATAGGGCCTGGTCAGGCGCCGAGGCTGTTTAAGAGTGCGACCAGGCCCCTGTAGAATCGAATGCTGGGAGGAAGTGAAAGCCAGTCATGTCCTACCAGAGTGCAGCACTGGAGGGAAAGAGCTGTGAGTGCGTGCTGCCGCTATTTTAAGTTTTTCGATATCTTCATATTTTATTACTGCACCGGCTCTGCCTTGCACTCGACTTTTTAGAGTCAACAATAAGAATATAAGATTTCATCTCAGATTGGTTTAGGGATCTCCTGGTACGTGTAGGTTTCTATACCTACTTCTATCCATTAAATACAAAAACACGCGAATTCAAACTCCCAAATTACTGTATTTATCCATGTAAGAGAGTGATTCAAAGATAAAAATAAATTTAGTCAAAAATTGGGTGTCGTCTTATACATGGAATGTCACGGCAAGGGTTAAAAAATAAACACTTGTGCGCGGGGCCTACGTTAAGATGGCACCTGCTGCATTTCAGTGTGCCACAGCCCACACACATTACGTATTTTTCTGTGTATAAGACAACCCCTATTTTTTGAGCCCAAAATGAAGAAATAAATATTTTAAAGGATCACTATAGGGTCAGGAACAAACATGTATTCCTGACCCTATAGTGTTAACACCACCATCTAGCCCCTCCTGCCTCCATAAATATAGCAAAACCTTACTGTATTCAAGCCTGAAGCTGTAATTCTGCATGCTGTTAGACTCAGAAAAAACAAGCAGTCTGCTGACATCAGAAGTGGTGCTTCCCCCATAGGATTGGCTGAGACTGACCAGGAGGCAGATCAGGGCAGAGCCAGCATAATTCAAACACAGCCCTGGCCAATCAGCATCTCCTCATAGAGATGAATTGAATCAATGAATCTCTATGAGGAAAGTTCAGTATCTGCATGCAGAGGGAGAAGATACTGAATGCTTGGATGCATTTTAGGCAACCATGACCCAGGAAGGATCTCTAACAGCTATCTGAGGAGTGGCCAGTGAAGTTATCACTAGGTTGTAATATAAACACTGCATTTTCTCTGAAAAGAATGTTCACAGCAAAAAGCCCGAAGGTAATGATTCTACTCACCAGAACAAATTCAACAAGCTGTAGTTATTCTGGTGACTATAGTGTCCCTTTAAGCATGAAACAGAACAAAATTTATATTTTAGAGGTGACTTCTGAGGAGAACAACACAATTCTCATGCCACTCCTCTGCTCCGGTACTCTGTGAAGTTAATATATAGTGCATGATGAAAGACTACAGCTACCACAATACAGCAGGTGGTGTAAGGGTAGTATACACTCTGCTCCCTGATCCCCAAAAATATAAATCAGAAAGCAAGACCTACCTGAGGTGGAGCAAACCTTAATATAGCTGCTCCTTTTGTGGCGTGGCATGTCTGGAGCTCCGTTGGTGGTGCTGTCTGCTGAAACAAAATAGGGACCTCTTTCTCCTTGCTACAGCATTCAGAAGTGGATTGGCAGTAGGGAGACCAGGTATGTGTGTGGGCCGTGGCACACTGAAATGCGGCAGGCGCCATCTTGGTGTAGGCCCTGCACACAAGTGTTTTTTTTTTTAACCCCTGCAGACATTCCATGTATAAGACGACCCCCAAGTTTAGACTAAATTTTTTTGAAAATACTTAGAGGTCTTCTTCTATTTACCCTGAATGCATCCTTCAGGACCCTCCATCTTCCTGTGACTTTGATATTTTATTGATATTTTAACGAATGACAATCATGACAGCTAGTTCATCCTCAGCCCCTCCTAGCAATCTATCTTCATGGTCAGTAACGTGCTGAACCCGAGCCTCTGGAGACCACAAACCGTGCGGCTGTTAACCCTGTCTGCGCTCTCATTAGGAAGTAACCTACCACCACAGCCTGTGAAGCCTTTCATCCATTTTTGATCCCACTAATATTAGAACTGATCCTTAAGCAAAGTCAGATGCTCCTAGCATCTTCGCTCAAACAGGCAATAAAGGACTAGTCATAGCCTTCCTCTTCCCTCCCCGCCACCAATCCCTTGAATCTCACATCTGCACCCACCACGCTAGTGGTCCTCAAAATCACCTCCGTGAGCAGTAAACCCTTTATAAAGCTGTCAATCCATCTCAATGTTGCAATTTGTTTCTCCTGATCTTCAATCTGAGCTTCTAGAAATCACACTTGTTGAAGTGGTATGGACTCTGGAAAGACTTTCACATGCGGCAAATTGTGCATCGAGAAACAACAAATCTAATTAAAGGTAAATGTGTAATTGTAGATTATACTAGCTTTAGTGTAACTATAATCTTAATTTTATTAATGACAGGAAGTGAATATTTGTTTAAGTCTCTCTTTACTAGAACTCCACAGCAGCACATTAACACACAGAGAGAAAACAATCACAAAAAAGTAAGGAAACCATAAAAGACCCCTACCAACCAACTACTTCCTCTTACAAGCTGCAACAAAAATAAAGTACATGAACAATATACAACTCAATAATAGTAATAAAAAAAACAAACGAAATAAGTCGATGACTGTCATCCGAAACTTGAAACGAATGTGGATCAGTAGATGACCCTTGACCTTTATACCAAAGAAGATCTCGAACTAGGATCCTTAGCCGAACCATTAAACTGAAATTAGATAAACAGAGTCGAAAACTCTGATTAGTGAATGAAATGTACTGTGAAAAACATGACTACCCATCATCAATTACTGACAGTACAACATCCCAGAAAAACACACCGCGACTCCCCCTAGGAAGACAATTACCTGACCTATCTACCACAGCCCTGGAGAACAGACTAACACTAAAAGTAGGTCAACCTAAAGCAAACAAAGAAAAGGGAAGCGCCCGCCATGAAGACTCCAGAAGCTGCTGCGCATCTAACTGAATGCGCTCCGAAAGTCGAATTCACCCCCGCTAATGCCAACAACCATTTAATCCAATACGCCAGATGAGGAGACGAGACCGGTTTGTGAGATCTGACATAAGAAATCAGTAAGTGGTCGGAATGAACTCGACATTCAAGGCTCTCCTGAAAGAGTCCAGGCCACCAAGCGCAGGTGGCCGTCCAACACGAGTGGATGAGGATTGCCCCGGGAGTCCGAGAGGAGCATCAGAGGGGACGACAGGAGCAGTGGATCCTGATGGGATAGATCCAAGAGCTACGGAAACCAGGCTTGACTCTGCCAAAGCGGATTCAGCAACACCAAAGACACACGTTGACGTCGAACTTGCAGCAATACCTTGGGAAACGCATAAGCTCCCCGAGAAGGCCACACCTGAAGGAAAGCGTCCGCCGTTGAGCATGCTGGATCCGGGAGCCAGCTGAAGTAGGTTGGAATCTGATTGTTTGTCAGTGAGGAGAAAAAAGGTCCACCGTGAACGGACCCCTCTGGGCCGCAATCTCGAGGAAAATCGCAATCGCTGGCGTCCCTCCAATGTCTGGAGAACCAATCCGCCGTCAGGTTCGACTCCCCCGGCAGATACTCCGCCTGGAGGGTGGTGATGTGCTGGAAGCAGAACATGTAAATCTTCTTAGTCACCCCCGAGAGCTTCAGAGAACGGGCAACTCCCAAGTGGTTGATGTATTGCACCGCCGAGACATTGTCCATCCGTCGGGCGCTGTGGCCCTTTAACAGCGCGACCGGGCCCCCTTAGAGGCAATTCTAAAGGTGGCTCGCCAAACTCCGAATTGCAAACGATATCGCAATCAGTTCCAGGCAGTTGATGTGGAACTCCGACTTCCACTCCGACCATGGACCCCCCGTGGAACTGGTCGCGCAGGTGGCTCCCCAACCCCAAAGACTCGCGTCCGACTCTAGCACGAAACCGGGAGTCTGACCAAAGATCGCTTTGCCGTTCCAAGCCGACATGTGAAGACGCCACCAGCGTAGTTCGGTCTTCACGTCTGGAGAAAGTGGAATCATCTGATCGTAGGAAGGTCTCTTGCGTAGAAAGCGGGCCTTCAGCCGCTGAATGGCCTTGTAATGAAGCGGGCCCGGGTAGATCGCCTGGATTGAGGCCGATAGGAGACCCACTACTTGAGCCAACATTTGCAGTGGGATCCGATCTTGATTTAGGATTCTCCTTATTTCCTTTCGAATGGTCGCTATCTTGGATAGAGGCAGATACATTCTTTCGCGTCTACTTCCAAACCCAAGAACTCGACCACCTGGGAAGGAGAAAGAGCAGACTTATCCTAGTTGACCACGAACCCCAGGTGTTCGAATAAGGAGACTGCAGAGTGCGTCTGACACTTCAGCCTAGAGGGCTCCTCGCAGAAGATCAGCAGATCGTCCAGGTAAACAATACAACAGACGCCTTATGATCGGAGGTAAGCAATCACTTGGTGAAGCACCACGGAGCTGAGTCCGAAAGAAAGACAGGTGAATTGGCAAGGTCTGCCCTTCCAAAGGAAGCGGAGGAATCTGCGACATTCAGTGTCTACAGGGATTGAGAGGTGGGCGTCCTTCAGGTCCAATCTCGTGAACTGATCTCTCGGCCAGAGAAGGTCCAGCAGGAGATGGAGGAATCGAGCTGAAACTGCGCCCTTGTCGGACAGGGCCCGAATCTCCGCATCTATAAAGGATCTGTTTCTCCCACGAGGAAATGGGAAACCGCGAAGGACGAACCTGAGTCGGAGGGGAATGAAAATATATGACATAGCCCTGAACAGTCCACAGAACCCATGCATCTTAAGACACCTCCCACCACCTGTCCCTGCAGTGAAACCATCTGCCCGCATGCAACAGGGGGAAGGGAGAAATCGCAGGAGTGGCTCTCACCTGAAGAGAATTTTGCATGTCCTCTGGCACGATTTCCTCTACCTCTGTCTGACCTATGAGAGTAGAAGGGTCGGTGCAGGTAGGAGGGGAAGAACGATGGTCCACGGGATCCCTGATGGCCAGAAGTGGCTGGAGACACGAACCCGCTGTCGTCCAGACCTGCCAAAAACACGTGAAGTCTGCAGGCAAAAGACCCTCTTCATGGAGGTCCGAGCCTCGTCCAGGGAAGTGAACAGGTTCACATGTTTGTGTAGGTTTTTTTTAATGAACGGTTCCCCTAACAGAAGACAAGGAGCCCAATTCCTTCGACCCCAAATCCGACAACTTGTTGACCATGCTTAAAAGGACCACCTTCCCGTGTTCCATGGAGAGCGCCACGTTCGTATTTGCCCAGCAGGCAAATAGAGCGCAGAGCCCAGTCCCGCATGGTGGCTGGTTCCAGGGTAGCCCCTTCCGAGTAGGCCTCATCCGCCAACATTAGCATCCTACATAGGGGATCCAGTATGTCCAGTAGTTTATCCTGCGCCAAACGTAGGCTGTGCTCAACCCCTTTCTTGGGATCACGCCTAGTATGGGTCATGAATGTAGAAACCAGTGAATCAAATTCTGGGGTCATGGCGACCTTATCCGGCAGTACAGGCCTGGGGAATTCTGCCTGAAGTTTCCTGCGAACCTCCCAATCCAGAGGTCTGCGGACCCAGTAATGCACGTATTGTGCTAAGTGGTCGGGGAGGGACCATTTGGAGGACCTGGGGTGTCGAATGGCCCGAGGGTCTAACAGGGGTTTGCCCGTAGCGTCTAGGAAAGTGTATTCGTCCATGACCGTAGCAGTCACCCCAGGTGTGGAAGCGTCCTCAACCTCATGGTGCCAGTTAGGATCGTCCCCAAGGTCCTCGTCCCATTCAACTTCCTCCTCCGAGGGGGACTAGTCTGCCCGCCATTCATCCAGGACGGTCATAGGTTGGAGGGGTATAAAGGCCCCTTCTCCGGCACCCGACATGCTGGGCCTTGACGTTTTGTGCTGCTGTGGAGCCTTGCCTTTCTGGGAGCATGGTTCAGGGCCTTCATCCTTCCAATAGCGCCCCTGTGCACTTGCCTGTTCTCTCCTTGGAGAGTCCAGACGCGTCATCTGCCGTCTGGGAGGTCCCTCTAGCGCTCCACTCCGGTTGTTTGAGGGAGGGCCCTAGCCAGGGCATTTTCCACAGAAGCTGCCACTGCCGCATTAATTATGGCTTGCAGATTCTGCTCTTGGGTAGATGGCTCCATGATCAAGGAGTTGTGGGCAATGTGACACCTTGGGGTATAGAGGTCAGGTGTCACCAGCAGGATAATCGGGGCAGCACCCCTAATAGTGGCAGAGGCAAGTTAGGTAGCGCCTGCAGGTTCCAAATGAGAGTATGGAGGTGACAGACCAATCATACACAGAGAATGGCACAGACAGTGCAGGCCAAATCAAGGGGCACAGACAAAGCAGTCCAATCCAGGGCACAGACAAAGCAGGCCAATCAGAGCGTGCAGGCAAATATGCATAAGGGTAGGTCTGCAGGCATGCAGAAATTGAGGGAATATGGAATCCACTAGAAGTTGCAGCAAACAGGGAAGGCCAAAACACCAGAGGGATGTTGCAGTAAGCAGGGATGCATTCACAAAACGTGTCCCCCACCATCAGCCCTATGACATCCCAAGAAAAGGTGGGGCATGAGTAAAAAGAAACATAGCAAATATATAAACATGTATACCACTTTAAACATATGGAATGCACACAATCCCTAAGAAAGACCGGCACTGAGCCGACACCCTCACAGAGCGAACCACAAGGCCGCGGGGGAGTGAGTGACAGGAGGCCGGGAGCAGCTGCTCCCACGTGGCCAGCTCGCCCTTTCACAACCGCCCACGCCACCCCCAAGCTGCGGTTAATGCGACACCACGGGCGGGTGCATGGACTAAGATGAGAGAGGACTGGAGACCGCTACCGCTCGGCAGACGGGGGCCAACACGTGGGGCTGCCGGAGTCTTACTCCGCGGTATCGGCGACCTCAAAACACACAAGTGCAGGGGGCAGAAGAAGGTTGGGCGGAAAACCCCAGAAGGGGATAAAGAGAGGGTAGGCAGACAAGAGCTACCCGGTAGAACAGCCCATAGAAGAACACACCAAACAGGGAAAACCATGCACAAAAACCCCCATACAGCACAAATCTAACCTACAAAATATAGAAATAGGCAATAAGCAATATAGAGAATACAATCAAAATACAATGAAATATCCACAGCCACCCATAGTGTAACAGGAGGCAGTGGTACTCTGACCTGTGCTTGATGTGCAGCAAAGAAAGGGGAAGTAGTTGGTTGGGAGGGGCCTTTTATCCTTACTTTTTTGTGATTGTTTTTTCTCTCTATGTTAATGTGCTGCTGTGGAGATCTAGTAAAGAGAGACTTAACCCCTTAAAGACGCTGGACGGAAATTTTCCGTCATTGCAGCACTCCCCTTAAGGACGCTGGACGGAAAATGTCAGTCCAAAATGAAAATTAACCCCTGATTGCCACAATCGCGGCAATCGTGGGGTTAATCTTCCTGTAGTGTGTCTCCATATCGGAGGCACGCTACCATGGGCAGTTTCACTGATTCAGCCCATGTGATCGCTCTGACCGGGAGTCAGAGTGATCACACGTGCTGCAGTGAAACCTGATCTGTGCTGTGAACTGCTGAGAGACAGATTGGTGCTGATTTGTTTCTCCCTGTAAAAATCCTCAGGGGTTAAATGTAATTAATTAATTTAAATATTTTAAAATATTTATCTAGCTAGGGTGGGTAGAAGTTAGTGGGGAAATTGGGGGATTTACGGTTAGGCTAGTTAGGGGTTAAAAGTAAAAAAAAAAAAACAATTAAAAGTGAAAAAAACTTTTTGAAGTTTAAACAAAGTTTCAAAATAGTAAAATAAGTTGTTAAAAGCTAAATAAAAAACTTTTAAAAAGTTTAAAAAAAAGTTTTAAAAAGGCGGAAAATGAGTATTACCTCTACACTTGGTACAGGCTAGCGAAAAAATGATACCACGGTAAGGTTTCAAATATGCCTTTTGAAACACCCTGGGGTGTCTTCTTTAGGAAATGGTATGCCTTTGTGAAGTAATTGGAAAACACAACCTATTAAAAAAATTCCAAAGTGGGGCATGGACACAGCGTAAAAATTCTAACTTAAATGGCTGTGTCTCAAATGTGCCCCTTCAACGTTGTCATATACCTGGTAAAGGTACATACGGGGGTATTGCTGTACTCAGATGACATAGCGGAGCAACATATGATGTATTATACTGCTGTAGCACATATAAGGTTTGCAAAATATATATTACAAACTCATTGAGTATGTCAAAAAGGCATAAAAAAATGCTTATTGCCACTACACTTGGTACAAGCTAGCAGAAAAATTATTTCACGCTAAGATTCAAAATACATCTTTTGAAATACCCTAGGGTGTCTTCTTTAAGAAATGGTATGGCTTTATGGGGTAGTTGGAATAATTAACCTACAAAAAACCCTCCAAAGTGGGGTATGGACACAGCGTAAAAATGTAAAGTTTGAAAAAACTTAAATGGCTGTGTCTCAAATGTGCCCCTTCAATATCCGCATATACCTGGTAAAGGTACATATGGGGGTATTGCTGTGCTCAGACGACATAGCTGAGCAAGATGGGACCTATTATATAGCCGTAGCACACATAAGGTTTGCAAAATACACAGTACAAACTCACTGTGTGTGTCAAAAAAGCAGAGAAAATGGTACAAGCTAGCAGAAAAATGATCCCACGCTAAGGTTCAAAATCTGCCTTTTGAAATACCCTGGGATGTCTTCTTTAAGAAATAGTATGCTTTTATGGGATAGTTGGAATTTATAGCCTGCTACAAAACTCTAAAGTGGGGTAACAACACAGCGTAAAAATTCAAAGTTTGAAAAAACCTGCAATGGCTTTGTCTGAAATGTGCCCCTTCAACGTCCACATATACCTGGCAAAGG